AGTCTTTTCGGAAGAAGCTCTGGATGAAGCGTGGGCAATGGTTGCGGGCCATGTCCACGGGTTCATCGGACTACATGGGCCACGCGCCTTTCGCGCCTGCGATGGTTGCGGGCATGTTGCAGCAAAACGTGCCCTCTTTCACGCGCAACGTTAGCGGATTTCGCGATTTCATCGATGAAGCTATATGGCAGACGCTGCTGCTTGCATCTCAAAAGGCGCAACAAGCCGTTGTTGCCCACTTGAAAACATCCAGGATGCGCAGGTCAGCGGCAGTGCAGATGTGGGTTCAAAAGCAACAAGATTGGGTGACCAGAGCCTTTCAGGGACGTGGTGTTGGTGCCACCCCTGAGAAGAGTGGTCCTCTCCACGTAGACGGTTTGATACCAGCGATGGCAAATGGAGCGCTTCAACTTTGAGATCGCCGCGAAGGCTATCGCAGCCATGATGTCGAAGCTGCAGCAAATGGCAACGAATTGGTGCAGAGGTAGGCAACCCCTGCGATGACGCGTGGGTATGGGTCAAAATCAAACCACCAGGGGACCGCAGGTTTTAGTCCTTGTTTCCATTTACCAGGGTTTCATTTTGGGTACCTGTTTTTGACCCATACCCACGTCAGTCCTCGTGCAGCCCTGAATACTGACAACAGTATCGCCCAGTCCTTCAAAAGGCCGAGCAGGCCAAACCCAGAGGGTCGCAAATGCTGTTCATGAGCCAGCCGAAGGAAAAACATAGACAACATAAACCAGCAAGCTGGCTGACTCACGCTTAGCACGTGACAGCCATAGCAAGAGGCGCTCAACAAGGGGTGCCTTGGCATTTTGCACGTCAGCAAGCAGTGGGGTGCCACGGGATACGTTTGTTAGATGCGCATGGGCAGATGTGTGGTGGATTAGAGCCGCAGCCAACCAAACTTGATCTTGAAGGGACGAGCGCGTCAAGATAGAAACTCACGGATCTCACGGGCAGTGTTACAGGAAGCGGTGTGTTGGTGAGCCTTGGCTGAACAGCAAGACTAGACACATACAAAGAGAGTAGCCGTTTTCTTTCGGACAGCTAGGGTCGCAGCTTCTATGAAGCTTTGCCTGACGGGCTCCTATTCAGTCAGCAGGCTTCAAAGGGGCTGATCAGTCTCTCACTTCGGAGGGGACCTGGATATGTGTCTTTTTCTCGTCGTACTCCTTGTCACAGGGAAAGGGCTGATGGGGGCCTAGTCGCTTGTCAAGCTCGATCAGTATGACGGCAGTTTTGTGTTTAGTTGACGGTTGACAAGGCTGGCTGATTGACTAGCGCAAGCCACGCTTGACACATGACCACATGTCGACCTCTAGATGTCCGACTTGGATACCGCAGCATGTTGCCATGAGTTGTATGCACATCCTCTAACAGGTGAGAAAGATGAAGACAAGGAGTCAGCTACGCCTGGAAGATGCTGCTTGCAACTCGGTTGGCTTCTGGCACACTTGCAGGTTGGTTTGTGCCAGGAGGGAGACGGAGAGGAAGGGGAGAAGAAAGAAGGCTTGAGCGGCAATCGCTGTGGGCAGGGAACGGGCAGGAACCAATCCCACAAGAATCAAGATCTCACTTGATTGGTATGAACAGTTGCGAATAGCGATGGCGTGTCACCTTTGATCCGTCTTTGTAGACCTGGCTCCAGGTGATGAAGATGGTGAGGAGCGGAACCAGCTAAGTGGACAGGTGTAAGGTTTAGCAAGATTGGTTCAAGATTCACCCAAAGGTGATCCTTTGAAGGCCTCTTTTTGCGCAGGACGAGGAGGAGGAGGAGTTCAGTGAAGAAGGGCAATGGAAATATGGAGAGCCGCTCTTGCAGCATCCAGCCGTTCGATCCCTTTCGCTGGCATGGAAAGCTTTTGGCTCCCTGACTCGCAACATAAAAACCGCCCATTTTGCTGGGCGTTGGACGCCTGACGGGCCCGGTTTGCCAGGTCCTTTGGAGCGGCGTGGAAGGAAGGCGACGTGATCGGAGTCCTCTTCTCCTCCAAGGACCTCGGGGATCCCTCGGCTTCCCGTTGCGTTCGAAGGATGTTCCCAACTTTGGGCACATCGCGGCTACGGATTTGTCATAAGGTGCAGAATCTTGATGTTCCTGATATGTGAGGTCATTTCCAGACATATTCGGATGGGCTCGCATGAGTGCGAGCAAGAATCCAGGGTTTGTCGGGCTGGGCTTCTCAAGGCAGTGTTGCATTGCCGTGTCAGGACGGCACCTGCAGCATGTCCTTCTCATTGAACGGATCTTTCGCTGCTCCCATGGGAGAGGCATTCTCCATCGAGCTGGACGAGGAGGGATCAGCGTGAAACTTGGAGCTCGTGTTAGGTGTCCTTAGGTTAGTTTGGTTTAAAATAGGCACTGGTTTAGATGGGTTTCATTCCATTTACCAGGGCCATCTATTTTTCCAACAGGACTATGCTTGTGTTGCTGGGCATGTGCAGGTCCCTGCGGGGATCCTTTTCATGTTTCATCATCCTTTCGGATGCCAGCGAGCATAGACCTAAAGTGACTCGTTGGGTTTCTGGATGTGATGTGTGGCAGGACTCGACCCTAGCCATGGTAGCAGCTGCAGGTGACGAAGGTTGGGACATTGTCATGTGCGCCAGTGTCAAAGCTTGGGATGCTGATTCAGATTCCAAACGAGTAAACAGGTTCCAGCTTGCACCAAAGGACAATCATGATTCCATTTAGCGTCACCCAATTGCTAAAACTGGTAGCCAGCAACTTTTTGAGGAGGCGTTTGACTCTGACCCAGGATTCCACTGAGGGAAGCATGACCAAAACAGTGGCTGGAGTTACGTTTCGTTTTGTGGGGGCGCAGCTCAGACCACCGGAGGGGGCCTCCTGCCAGATGGGTGAATGGGGGAAGCCAACATTATGGATGTCAACCCTTTAGCGGTTAAGATTTTCAGCCGGTCTCACGGATCTTTTGACCGACTCCCAACCTCAAGTCCCCGTCGAAGCGTTCGAAGCGCCCATGCTCCGAATGCCAGGAGAGATGCAGGTGAACCTGGGCCAGCGCCTCTTCCAGACCACCCCCACACTGGTCCAGGCCTCAAAACCTTGGCAGAAAAGTCTGCGGATGGGCCAAAGAACGCGGGGCTGCGGTGCGGCTCTTGTTGATTTGCAAACGAGCAACGCCGAACGCAGCTGGTTTGTGAGGTGGTATCTTTTCTTGGACAAGAGGTACTGTAACATGTTGAATCAAGGTTCAAACATGTTTAAAAGGAGGTTCGACCGACATATCTTGGTTCTGAGTACGACGTGAAGATTGCCTTCAAAGACTATTTCAAAGAACCAGACAGGGTTGCCTGTAATCACTTGGGGTGCACAGCTGGGGAGTGTACTCAACATCGATTGCATAAGCTGTAGCCTTGTTGGTAGAAAGAAGCTACGTAGGACTGGCCTTTGTGCTTCAGGGGGACCATTCTTGATTGACACTCGCGTCCATGCTCCACGCTGGCCCATTGGATTTTGGGATCCTGTTCAGACAAGGGCCTCTGAGGTTTTGCCTCAGTTCTTGAAACTTCACTGCGCCATCCGAAAGAGAAGTGAATCCATTTTGACAATCCATCTGAAGCTCTCAGGAGAACGAGGTTCTCACCGTGAGAGGACTTGGAGAGGTGCGGGAGGGTTGCCATGTAGCTCGGATTGGGCTTGGACTTGTTGCGACCGTGCCGTAGTCTTGTGCCTACCGCTGGTTGCACTGCGTGAGATGTGTGGGACCCTTTCCTGGCGGCTTTTATTTTTTTGACAGAAAGCCGCGGCTCGGAATAAATTCGAATCATTGCGCCTTAAACCTGCGCCTCATTTCGTTCTTTTCGTTTTGGAATCTCATGAGTTGGCCGTGGGTCAACACCAATGGGATCCCATGTTGGTTGGTAGGTGAATTCACCACCCATTTTAGAACCTATTTTAGTGGTTGGATTGAATCGGATGTTTACTGGGGGTACGATTTGGGTTTTGACCCGTAGCCAGTTGTGATGTTGCTCACAACTTGAGCCCGGGCAAACCCGAGGCACATCCCTTGAGCCCAGGGCAGTTTTGTTTTTTTGTTTTGCCACCTTTTGCGGAAAAATGGTCGACCCCCTTGTAGTGAAGGATTCCTTTTTGACGGGTCGCCCTGCATTTTCTCACGAAAGGTGGCAAAAAGACACTCCTTGAGACCAGGGCCTGTTCTCACTGCAGCCTAGGCGATGAAGATGCGCCCAGCATGGAAGGTGCAGCTGCCCAAAGGCGTCAAGGCGCACGAAATTCGGCCCGGAACCAACGCACAGTTCGTCATTTATCTTTTTGGCGGGTTTTAGGGGAGCCCAAAATGGCGCAACGGTTTTTCCCTTTTGGTTTCCCTTTAAAACCCACAAAAACGGGGTACCAGCAAAACAAGATGCACAATGGTTGGTGTTCGATGATTCTGCAAGCCGCTTAAGACATTCCTTTCAAGTTTGACACTTGCCTCCCCCCATCCCAAACGAGAAGCAGACTCATGCGAATCTACAGTTGGGATTGTCGTGAGAGAGCGAACATGCAAGTGAAGAAGTGGAGTATGAACAGTCGCATTGCCCATACCTAGATTTTAGTCGGTCTGCATAAGATCTAGGGCAGCCAGCCTATTTATGTTGCTGACGCATCAACCGGCTGCGGGAGCAAAGGCGTGAATGCCTGAATAAGGTTGATTTTCCGAGCTAAGTTACCTATAAGGGACGGTATTTTTGCATAGTTTTGATGGTCTTTGCAATGTTTCTAATTGTACTTTGCAATGGTTTGGCCCCCGGAGAGCCTTCTTGATTGGCAAGCCCCGGAGCCACGCATCACCAGCATCACCAGAAGGCCAGCCTCAACATTACCATCACCAGCTGGGGACAACCTGAGTCCCAGTGATGCTGGAAAAGCGGATTGACAGTGTTGCTTGAGGTTTCGTTTCCTCCCCGGTGATGCTGAAGCGCCAGCGTTGGGAACCCCTCCCCATCCCGGTGAAGCTTTGGGATGCCGGGGTCAGCGGTGCCGGGCGTCAGCGGCTCTCAACAGCCCGGCAAGTTTCAGCATGGCTAGTACACTTCATGGCTTTGGCTCCTGATTCGCGCCTTCGAGACAAGGAAGCCCAGGCAGCGCCTTTGCAAGCAAACCCATTTGGTCATGGGTCATAACCTATGCCTCCATTTTGGGGCGGATGAACACCCATGTACCACCTATTTTGATGTTTACCAGCGGTACAGGGTCTTGACCCACAGCTATTTGGACAAGCTGCTCTGCCAGACGCGCTTCTGCGCGCACGCGGCCCCGCGCGCGCGGAGAGGGTGGCGCAAAGACGGTGTTGATTGCAGGAAATCGTAGGCCAGCGCCGTGCAGCAGGGCCAACCCTGGTCGCACCCCCAGCGTCAACCCCATAGCGCCCGCATCGACAGCGTGGGCGGGCGGCGGGTGCATATGGAGCTTCGCTCCTCCGGACCAAAGAGAGGATCATCTGACGCCGTTCGGCCACAGTTGCGGCCGCGGTCGGATCAGGCGCAAGTTAATGATAGCAGCAATCGCCAGCCCCGAGGCAGTCGAGCAGGGTGGAATTCACCGCCGCAAAGGCTGCAGCATATTAGCAATATGCCTAATCGTTAGAAATTTGTTCCCAACTGTCGTCCTTGTGCATCCCCAGCATCACCGGGCCGAATGTCACATCGAATTCCATGTTAATTTAACATGATGTGAAACAATGATACGCAGTGAAGCAGCATGATGAGGATGATAAAATGAGACAACATGATGATGATGACGATGGCGATGGCGATGGCGATGGCGATGATGATGATGATGATGATGATGATGATGATGATGATGATGATGATGATGATGATGATGACGATGACGATGACGATGACGATGACGATGACGATGACGATGACGATGACGATGACGATGACGATGACGATGACGATGACGATGACGATGAAATGAAGAGGACTATGACGATGACCATGGCGATGATGATGATGATGATGATGATGATGATGATGATGATGATGATGATGATGATGATGATGATGATGATGATGATGATGATGATGATGATGATGATGCTCATGATGCTCATGATGCTCATGATGCTCATGATGCTGATGATGCTGATGATGCTGATGATGAAGATGACGAGGAGGAGGACGATCAGGACGATAATGGTGATGACGATGATGATGATGATGAGGATGGCAGCAGTTTCTCTGCCACTCCCCCTTGCCGTGCGCCTCCCCTTTTCAGAGAAAAAGAGTTGGAGGATTCCTCCTTGTTGCATCGCGTTTGAAAGACCGCTGTCTTCCGAAGTGGCCATGAATTTTACGTACATGATGTCCACCAAAGGGTCCGTGACCCATTAAAATTCCCGCAAGCCTTGGCCAGGCCTGGCCAGTCTTTGAGGAGCCGAACAGGACTTCGAAGGGCCGCAAGCCCCTGGAGGACCGGGCGATCTGTTCGGTTGGTCAAAAGACGCAGCTTTTCTTCTGTCGCGCGCGTCACAAAAGTGGACCTGCGAACAGCGAGCCTTTTTTTGGACTTTTTTTTCCCGCTCATTTGCTGCATGGTTCCTTTGGGTGGCTGCTGTTTTGACCCGAGGACAAAGCCGAAGTGGACCAGCTGCACTCCTCCTCGGAGAATTGGGTCCAGCTGATGGAAGGCTCACGGGGGGGGATCCGGATCACGCGTAGCGCATCGGGGTGTGTTGATTTTCGGGGACGAGCCTGCACGGATTGGACCAGGCCAAAGGGGTCTTGTGGTAACTGGGTTAACTTTTAAGACCTCTTAAGGGTTAAAACGTTTAACCACTCTAGTTGATAGAGTGTTCTTTTTGGTTTCCCTCTAAAAGACACATTTGGGGAATCTTCACCAACCACCTGTGGTTCACGAAAACTCAGAAGCACGTGTGCCATGGTCAAGAAGACCTGGGGCCAACAGAAATGGTAGATGAGGTCACAGGCCCACCTGGCCCGACAGAAAGTTTTTGACCATGGTCAGTAAAAGCTCAGAATTGCTTTCAGGCCCTTCCCTTTTGACCAGATTATGCCTATACAGGCGCGCACTGAGTTGCAGGGTTTTAACGGGGCCCATCAATCATTCAGACATGTCCGGGCAAGCGCTCAGCGCTCGCATAGCTCAGCAAAGCCTGGGCCTTGGAATTTGTAGGCTGGGTCCAGACCAGAATGCTGGTTGCTGGAACGGAGTACGAGGGTCTCAAGCTTGGGCCTTGGGAGCATGCTGTCAGCTTCAAGACTCTTGCACAAACTCGCCTATACTTCGGCAAGTCACCCGGCACACGGTAGATGCCCCTTTTTTTCGGGCCAATCCGGCTCTTCGGCCGCTTTTTGATTTCATGCAGCTGGGAGCACGGCCACTAGCACACCTTGCACTCGGTCTGAAACAAGCGCCCTTTGGCCGTCCTTTCCTCCGCCGAGATCTGATCCAAGGCTGCGGCCGCTTTGGAGTCCAGTGGACCCTCCGCGGAAGAAGAAGGAGCGCCCCGGCCTCGGAGGAGTTGAAAGACGGCCTCGGGCGGGATGAGAAGTGGGTATGGGTCAATAGTGAACCAGACCGGAAAATTGGACCGCAGGTTTTAGTCCTTCTCATTTATCAGGGTTCCCAAAATGGGTTAGCCTATTTTTGACCCACAGCCAAGTGATGCTCCGAATGCAGATATCTCGAAATGTGTTGTGTCCCTCAGGCAAGAAGCGCCAACAGACGGTCTACGCAACCTTTGACACTGAGCGTGGATCTCAGCGTTGCTCGGATTTGAGCAGGTTCGTGCTTGCCAGACTCGGCTCGTTTGATTCCCTTGCGATTGCCCCTGCACCTGGTTGGGCGTGTCTTTTTTTTTGGCGGTTGCACCCTGTTGGTCGTCCTGGGTTTAAGGGGACACCAGAAGGAAAGCCACCGAACACGCGGAGAGCCAAGAACACAGACACCCAGTTGGCGACTGGTCGGACCTTCGTCACCTGGGCTCAGTGGGGTTTGCCATGGCCCCGAAGCGGCTCGACCGCTTGAGCGTGGCGTGGATCGCGGACCCGAAGAAGCAGCCTGGATGCAGAGACCAGTTGGATGCGCGGAAGAGGGTTCCTCGGAAGATCCAACTCCAAACGTTGGGGTGGGGTCCCTAACTGTTGGATGGCACCCAAGAGCAATGTGGAAAATTTCGCCCAGGATTCCTGGGCATGTGCCAGTTTACCACTGGAACTGGCAGATGGAATCCTTGATTCAGTTGAAATGAATTGACAGTATTGACGGTATGGTTGAGGACGTTGAAGAAACATTCCTGAGTCACAGAGGGGGGGCATGTGAAAATAGTCGAATTGACCTTCTGAAGGCGCCTGAGGGCACCTGGAAAAAGCGTGCCATTTTCCCATGCAAATGTTGGGAGCTACTGTGGATGGACAAAATCCTGCATCACTTTGAAACGATGGGAAACCTTTGTTTGTTGGTATTTACAGGTGAACCATCATTCCAGGGTTTCTTAGGTGGTGCAGGATTTCGTTCATCCACAGTATTACCGGTGAATCCTTGGCAATGAATGACCCGAGGTTCGGGTCAAAGCCAGGCTATCCGAAGCCAAGCCTGCGTGATCGGTTGCACAAGGAGGCCGCCCGCGGGCTGGCGCTGTTGCGCTGTTTGATTTGGATGTGAACTGCACCAGCACCTGAGAGCCAGCGAGGGAGTAACGGAATTTTCTTCCTGCCGAGTACAGGAGATGTCATTCATGTAATGACCTCGTCATGTGGATTGTTATTCAGGATGGCATTGACTTTTTAAGTATGGCTCGCCTCCCAGGGCGGGGTGGGGGTTGGGGGTGTTGCTGGCTGCTGCATAAAGGCGATTTGCCTTCTATCAAACTGATTTGACAGATTCTACCATGCTGCTTGTGATACGCTCAAGATCAGGGTTGCTGGTCATTTGTCATTCCGAAAGCAAATGTTAAGGGGTCGAGCATCGAAATCCAAGCTGTTCCTGATCGAAGTTGAGCTGGCCCACCGTAAACACTTTCCCTCTCTCGCCGAGCCTTGTTTGTGTCTTGTTTCTGGTGCTGAGTTGTTTTTTTTCCATGAGGCTGGACATACCTGCCACTGGATACCTCCAAATGAATGGACATATTCATAACGGGCCATTGAGGAGTAATTAGTTGGGGGTCAGCTCAGGGTGAGATCAGGCTGGTTGGTCCTTTGTCCGCCTGACCGCCTCGGAAGTGCGGAAGGCTGGGACCAGCTAGAAGCAAGGTTGAGGGAATGTGGGTCTGTCCTTGTTTTTAAGGGTCCCACCAAATGGCATCCCTTTAATTCTGTTTTGCAACCACCAAAAAATGGGTACCTTCAAACATAGACCGACCCATGTGTCAAAACAAAGCGGTGCTCTCCGAAAGGTTGATTTCACCTTAGTTGCCTTCAATTATCGGGTGCCTAAAGTTGAGACGGCGTGGCCGACACGCCAAACTGAAAGCTTGCCCGTCGCCACACGGATTTTTTTGCTTATACTGACAATGTTATTTTTCTACAAGGATTAGGGACCAACAGAGGACGGTCTCCAAGAATTACCACTACTCCAGTGAAGCCACTGTTTGGAGGGCCCCCCCCAATGTGGGAACTCCGGTAACTTTGACTCTGCAAAGCCGCAGGGAGCTCTACAAAGTGGAGGCTATGACATCTTCATAGTGCCGGGTGGCTATGCTCCAAACTTTGCGGCCTCTTGGATACACAAGCCAAGAATTTGGATCATCCCCCGCTTTTTTTTCCCCCTCCTCTTTTTCTTCTAATTATTATCCGTTTGTTGGGCGCATTGAGATAGCAAGGATGCCTTGGGCGAGCTTGGAGCGCAAAAAATCCGAGACTTTGTGCAGGCCTGGCATATTCTTGTTTTTGGTAGCTTGATAAACCAACCTTTGAGGTTTCCGCCCACTTTTCCGTAACATGAAACATACCGACTAGATGTTCATGGCAGGGTGACCAGCTGTGAAAGGCCGGTGGCGGATATGTGGGTATTTGCGCCGGGGCGTACTTGGGAACATCCTGGGGTTTCGACTTGTTGCCGGTGAACGTCCTGGACATTGATCATTGGGATCGCGGCAAGACGGACGATTGCCGCTTGAGCACCACGTCGGCTGGCTTCGAGGTCGCCGGAACTCTTCCAGCGGAGTTCGGAGTGCGCTACGCCAATGGTCCGCTCTTTGAGATTTTGGACTCGGCCGTGGAGTCCTTCGTCAACTTCGAGTCGGAGCTGCGAGGTAAGCGAGGCACTCACCCGCCCCTGATGAAGGGCTCCCCGGCGATCTTGGGTGGGCCTTGTGGGAGGGGCCGGGCCCTTTTGGTGTCGCCGCACATCGAGGGCTCCCCGGAGTTTGCGGACGCCTTCCGCAGCTTGGTGCGCTGGACCACGCGAGGTAAGGATGTTAAGGACGCGAAGGACGCGAAGGACGCGAAGGAGGCGAAGGAGGCGAAGGAGCCGTGCCCTGCAGGGGAGCCGGAGGCGACAGAGGCGGGGATCACCCGGATCTTCCGAAAGTTCGACCTCAATCAAGATGGGCAGTTGGAAGTGGCAGAGCTGAAGGCTTTGCTGGCTGGAATCGGATCAGAGCTGCCAGGTGTGAGCAACGAGCTATTGGAGGCCATGGAAGGCCGGGAAAAGAGCCTTTCCTACGAGGAGTTTGTTGCCTGGGTTTTCGGCGCGCCAGTTCTTTTTGATCGCGATGAGCAGATCGAGACCGACGGCGAGGAGGATGCCATGGACAAGCCCTCTCTGATTCGCATGCAAAGTTCAGCGCAGTATGGGTCAGACGCCGAAGCGCCTGGAGCGACATTAGCTCCGCCAATATCGCTCACACGCACCTGCAGCGATGGATGTTCGGGCCTCAAACGCGAGATCTCCAATGAGCAGGTGGAAGCATCGGTGATTGTCATCCAGCGCGCAGCGCGTGCCAGGAGTGTGACAAGTCCTGAATCGCCGAATGAGAGCAGTGAACCTCTGGCCGCAGTTCCCAAAGATGCCGAGGCAGCGGCCAAGGCTCCGCCCGCCAAGGCGGCGCCTGCCAAGGCGGCGCCTGCCAAGGCGGCTGCCAAGGCTCCTGCAAAAGCTCCTCCCCCGGCCCCCGGGCCCATTCTGAAACGAGGCCTGGATTACCTTTGCTGCCTGGGCGGGCCGATTCTGATAACTGCACCGCACTCCATGAAGATCGTGCGTGGGGGCGGGGACACCGGGGAGAGGACCCATTCATATCGGCCACGCTGCATTGCATGGAAGAAGGCATTGCAGCATGAACTGTAGTTGCCACATATCAAACACCGTGTGGAGAGCTTGGACCCTACACGTAAGACATGTGTTGACCCCAGGACTCGGACGCACAAGCGTGAACGCTTCACTGCGGAGATCTCCTTGATCGTGGCCCGAGAGCTTCATGCACTGGGCACCCCGGCCTCGGTGATGATTTGGAACCGCATCGCCGGGCCCGGGCGCGGGCGCCTGGACCCGAACTACCTGGTGCGCTCCCAGTTTGCCTCGTCTCCTTGGCACCGGGCACTCCACAGATGGGCGCTGAAGGTTGGGGCTGGCGGCCCTGGCTTAGGCGACATCCCTTTGTTCCATGTGGACCTGCACGGCAAGGTCTCGGAGAAGCTGCATTTGGATCTCGGGGCCGCCCCTCTTGAGGCCGTATGGCCGCACCACGAGCAAAGTTTCGTGCGGGCCCTGAAGTACAACTTTTGCAAGAAGCTGGACAAAGTGCTCGCGGACTGCAGCGTCTTATCTGTCAAGGGCCATCAAATTAAGGTGGACGTTGACCCGGATTTGCATGGATTTTGGGGTGAGGACATGAGTGAGCAGGGGTCAAAAGATGCTTTGTTTTTGAGAATTGACTTCTTGTAACCATGATGTCCGCCGTTATCTCCAGTGTCACACGTGTTTCCAGCAGGACACTGTGACGACCATTTCGCACCAATCCGTCCTCTTGGGCATTCCGGCTGTCCAGTTTGAGATGCCGCCCAAAGTGCGTGAGCAGCTGGTGACAGACCCGGAGCTTGGAAGGCGCTTTGCCCAGGCGAGTCGTGGTGCTTGCCAGCGCCGAGTTGGGCCAAAGTTACTTGAGGCACAATCAAAACCGGGTAGATGAAGGTTAGTAGGGGACAATCCCAACCATAAATAGCTGCAGCCGCCTTCTTACTTCTTTGCATGGTTCTGGGTAGACCATTTTAATACCGGGTTTTGATTATGACTCACTTGTGAATTTTTGCTTTGCTGTGGGACAGCCACTGAGCTTTTCCTGTCAGGTACAACTTGCATTGATCATGGAATCCTTGTGATCATGCTCAACCAATCTTACACAGTGTCATGCACAATGCATGCACAGAACAAGGCAGACTTAGCGCACACACACACACACACACTACATTTGGCATTTTGGCAGAATCATACCACTGTCAAGCCGCCCTTGCTTTCAGATGAGCACCGCATCATGCATCGCCAAAGGCTCACTTTCTTCTCTAGAGTGAGCAACGTTTGCACATTAGCGATTCAAGAGTGCTCCCCAGGTTGTGCTTTGGCTTTGCCACAATCACGTGGCTCATGATACGTTGCCACAAAGCATGAGAACCTGCGGGTCTCAAAGGGGTCCAGTTCAGGCCATTCTGGAGGTCCACCAGGAGGTGGTCGCCCCATGGTGGGCATCCCACTGCAGCTCTTTGGCCCCCTGGCCGCGCCTGGATCCCATCCGTCCTGATTTGGCGGAGGCGACTTGGGCGATTTGCGCCAGCCAAGAGGCTTCCTTTTGAGAGAACTGGTGGTTTGGGCATGTTGGATTTGGTGGGTTTGGTGGAATGATGTGAGTTTGAGGCGGATGATGCAATGAGGATTGGTTTCTTTTGTGTTCGAAACCAGTCCTTGCCGAGATCTGTCAGGTGGAAGAGACTTGCCCACCGGCTTTTCAGCCCTGGGCTGATCAGGTGGTGGAGGAGTTGCTTCAGGCAAGGGTTGTAGTGATCACATTCGGCCTTCCTGGGTCCAGCTCTTTCTTAACATTGCGAGTGGGCAGAAACTTTGGAGCAGTACTAATAGGAACATGAGCTTGCCTTTGTCCGGCAACTGACACGGGGGATTGATCAATGGCTCCTTGTATGTGTTGTCCCTGCAGATCGAGAAGACCTGCACATCTGAAGCCCAGATTTGAGGCGTTTGCAGAAGCAGCGAGCTTTGCGCCTTTCGCAGAATCTAGCCCAGCCCACAGCTGCTTTCCACAGCTGGGGTGTGCGTATATGCTTTGCGGAGTGAATACCACACTGCCTTTGCCATCGCGGCAAACAGGGCAGACGCGGCTTCGGGCGGGAATGCTTCAAATGAGGCACTCCTTCAAAGGGTCGGTTTGCTCTTGGGTTCTCTTCAAAGACCGCCAGAGGGGAGCTCCCACATCTTCCCGCATGTTTTGTGCTGAGCTTTTAAAGCTTTGAGACTTCGCCTGAGGTTCTGCGAGACCCGCAACTGGCAGTTCACAGGCCCATTGCTTGCTTCTCGCTTCGAGATTTGCGCGCCGAAAACGTGAGGTACAGATGTGGCTGTTGCACAGGGCGGGCGAGGGTCTCGGACCTTTGCTTCTTCTCGGACCCATAGGTGTTCTTTTTAGGTGAGTTTGATTAAAGATAGATGGCACAGGTTTAGGTGGGGTTTCTTCAATTTACCAGGGCCATCTATTTTTCCAAAAGGCCACCTAGGACCGACGTGTGACACCAGGGAGGGTTTGCAGTTCAGATGTGCCGCGCATTTTTTTTTGAAGCCCGACGTGGCTGGGCAACAATCTAACTCCAAGTGGACAGAGGCCGGACCTTCTGGTGAGCGCAGAAGCAGCCAGCCTTGGCCTCGCAACGGTAGAGCCCACTGTTGGAGTCACTGATCGTGTGACGGAGTGCTACAGCGGTATGGATTGTGACCTGACCAGCTGGTTGTAAGCCATGGCTGGACGTCCTGAATCTGGATAAAGTTTGGAGGCGATCGACTTTTCGGTCTGTCTCGAGGCAACGGGATCCTTCGATGGCTCCTGAAAATGGAGGAGGCGCGCGCAGGTTTCGCTCGGCTTTGCCAGCCAGCGAAACAAACGGGAAGGCAGTGATGGCGTTTTGGATGTCTTCAGAAAGCACCAATCAGTTGCTGAAGTTAGTTTCGCCTTCAAACAGACCATCCTTTCTGCAGGGCAACGCAGGATGCGTGTAAACATTTGCATTGGAATTCTATCATCCACTTTTGAGATTTCTCTCCAGAGTGGTATGACCCAAAGGAGGCAAGCAAATGGTTAGCATGCCTTCACACAGCTGGCGGCGCAAGGGCAATGATGCGGTGGAGGTGGGGATTGTTCCGGTCAGTGAGGTTGAGGACGGCCGCATCCTGCTTGAACTGGAAGGTGTTGTGGTCTCTTTATGCTTGAGAGGTTGGCAAGTTGGCAACCAAGTGTTTGTCAGCTTCCAACATTGAATTTAAGACCGCTTTCTTTTCATTGCATTTTGTGCAGGAGCCTGGCTACCTCTTCAACACCGGCCAGTGCGTCTCTTATTGCTAGCCTTCCAAGCTTACAGGAAGCTTGAAGCTGACAGTTCGACTGACTTGCATGAACTCCTTGCATGGGGACCGCAGGTTTTAGTCCTTGTTTGCGTTTACCAGGGTTTCATTTTGGGTACCCTCCCACCAATTGATATGGAACCTGACGTTTGGACCAAACCAGGACCCCCCGAACGTCAGGTTCCATGTTAATTGGGAGGGTCCCTATGTTCGACCCGCCAGATCGAAGCTCGAAGGTTCGACGCCGAGGTGTGGTCTCAAGTCCGAGAGCGTCAGCGGCGGCGACGGCGGCGGAGAGCAGAAGCAGGGAGCTCGGCGAAAATCTCACCGACAGGTGGTCCGCTCCGGAAAAGAAAACCGGCGGCTCTTCCCCCTTTTTTCTTACGAAAAAGGGGGGGACCGTCAGGAACATTCCCTTGGAGCTTCAAGTTCGAGAGTCTGTGAGCGGAATGACACTAGACAGGTATTTTGAAAGGAGCCTGGCACTGTGACATCTTTTGCAGTGCATGCAATGAGTGCCTGCGTGGCTTGAATCTCAGGCCGACTTGGCCAATTTACATGAAGTTTGTGGAGATCATTTGCGACGTCGACCGGAAGAAGGCTGCGCCAAGCTCTTTTCCCTTTGCTGTCCAAGCCCGGGTTTGTCAGGCACGTCCGAGTTATGTCGGAGGAAGGTTGTACTGTGTTCATGGGAGTCAGAAGTTGAAGAGATCACCATGGAAGAGATTAAACAAAGATAATGCATACTATGTGGCGGTCTGCCAAAAGTGCACCCTTCCCGCCAAGTTCTCAGAAGCAGGTGTCCTTCCACGTCGGGAGCAAGAAGGACAACTTGCAAGAGGCCTGATTTGGCCTGATTACTAACGTCGGGTTTTTGCTTAAACTCGGAAAGCAGTTCCTTCGATTTCATCAGTCAGGTTTGCCCAATCAGCCAACCAGGTGAAACATATGTCATGCATTGGGGACCTGTGTTCAAGGCATTTGGGCAAAAGTCAACATTGCACAATCAGCTACTGTTGTCTAGGGTGTGACATGGGCCATGTGGCCATACAGCTATACGCACTGCTAAAGGGGAGGTTATGGTGGAAACCCCAACACAAATGCAGGCCGCAAGTCTCAATGTGAATATGCCTAACTACAATAGGATGTCAATGTCCTTAGAGTTTTTTTTTTTTTTTTTTTTGTAAATAAACTATATCATGCACTTTTTCAAAGGAGGTCTCTTCAACCAAAACGCAGGTTAGATGACTCCAGTAGCCCCCTTCATATGTCCCAAATCCCATACCAGAGAAACACATGGGAACAAGCATGGGAAAACGCATGGGACAAATGTGGGAATAGTGTTGGAGCGGGGCAAAAAAGGGAAAACCATGGGACAGCACCCAAAAACCAGAGAAAATAGGGACAGCCAAAAGAACATATTTTCAGACTGGCCAACATGTGCTGCAGAGTGGGAAGGGCTGCATCCTTGACTGGTTGTGTCAGCGCAAGGCCCAGGAAAAACCCAAAGAACTAGGAAAACGAAAGGTGTGGAATTCCATTTGCATCATCTTTTTGCACCCACCGGCCCTCTTTGAAAAAACACGACGTGCTATTGTATCACCACCCTCTTGGGGACAAAACAAAGGTTAAGGGGGGAGGCGTCTGAAAAGGACATTTTATCCCAACCCCTCCCCCCCCCCCCCCCCCAACAAACCACCAGATCTTTGTAAATGACATTTTATCCCCCCCCCACCCGCCCTTAACCACCACCCCCCTTAAGCCCACCCCACCTCCCTCAAGCCCACCCCACCCCCCTTAAGCCCCACCTCCCTCTTAAGGGGCTGGGGATGAGATCGTTAGGTCTCCGAGCCGCCGACTTGGCTTCAGGTGAAGACCCTGGAGGTGCCCTACGACGAGGAAGTCCGGCTAGCGGTGACCGGCTGGAGCGGCACCCGCCAATGCCCCGGAACTCCAAAGCCACGGGGTCCGTCCAGAACCTGGGCCGCTTTTTGTTGGGGCGACCCATTTTTTGAGTGGGTTTTAAGAGGACGCCAAGTGGATGGGTATTTAATTTGGGCCGGTCTTCTTGAGGCGACCCCTTGTTTGGAGTTGGTTTTAAGATGTTTTAAGAGGAAGCCAAGCGGACGCCCACCTTTTAGGGCGATCCCCCTATTTTGAGACATCCTTTTGTCCAGGATTGAGCGAGGATGGGCATCCCTGGAGAACATGAGTGTAATTCTAAGGATTGCTAGTAGGCCCTGACCTGGACCTATGAGAGAGGGTATATCTTTGCAGGCTCCGAGGTGTGCGTTCCGTGACCACCAACATGGAGCTGCAAAAAGGGCTTTTCAACAAAAAGCTCTTCAAATGGATGTTTGTCAAGTTCCCTTCAAGTTTTCAGGGATTGGACAGAACGTGATTTCTGTAAGGTGCGTTCGCCAGATTGAATGTCTTTCTTGAAAGTACCATGGTCGGGCAATGTCAAGCTGCGTGTTGTCTCCATCATGAGCGCGACCTGTTTTTTTCCCGAGCGTTTGCTTAGGTGTGCGCTTGGAGCCGCCTCAGAAGTGGATGGGAGGAGTGCGCGAAAAGGGGCGGGTCAAGCGTAGTTGGGCCTCGTGCCTTGGTTCGATCCTCGATTTCCCCTTGTGCAACGATCTGCCTCGGGACATGTGCCTGAGATTTTGACACCCCCATGTCCTGCCGCGTTTAAAGGATTAGATGAGCGGCCATGGGCGGCCCTTAGCCCATAGCTCCCCCTTTCCGCAGCGATCATTCAGCAGAGTCCTCTGAGGCTTTTGGCCAAACAGTGAAAGACTGACAGGAGACGAGTCGGATTCTGACTCTGACTCCAACGCAGAGGAGGCCTTCTGTGCTTTAGTGTAGCAGCTGAGCATGTTGTCGACGTGGTGTAACGCTGGCATGTCTAACTGGAAATAGTCAGGGAACTCCAAGCCACAAGGCACATGTCTGCATAGGACGACCAGTTCGCCAACACATGTGGGAATGTGGTGGCGAGCTCAGCCTCCTGCATTTGATACAGCGTGCTCTCACCGCAGCCTCTTTGATCATCAATGTTTTGGAAACCCGAATCCTCCCCGAAGTGACGCTATGCAGAGCGCAAGCATGCAAGCATTTTTTTTTGCAAGGTTCCGGTGTACTCTGCGTTGTGTTGTGCCCGTTGTGTTTCGGACTCACGCATGAGCCAACAGCACATCAAGCTGTTTTCTATCTTCCATAGGTTGATTTGTAGATATGTATTTGACAACGTTTACATCATACGTTTTTGTTGCGCCTGGTAAGGCCGCGCGACTTTTGCTGATATGTTGTGTGAAGTTGTATGTAACCTTGCTTGTGGTGAACCTTTTCATCAGCACTTTTGCTAATTTGACCGGCCAGCCATCCCGCCGGTCCCTCACGACCCATGAGAGTCACTCAGGTGCAGCCTTCCACCTGGCATGTGGCCACCATTTGCGTGGATCTGGAGAAGCGGCAGGCGTCACTGAGCTTGGGGCTGGGCATGTTGAGCTGGCTGCTGGGGCAGCAGGTTTACGGTGCTTTTGAGAGCGGGGATATGGCAAACATCGGGGCAGCAAATGGCGGAATTGCGCAATTGAACGCGCTGCTTGAGCACATCAGATTACTACTAGTAGCTTTGTCAAACCTCGGTTGAATAAGCTGGCGCTGTGTCTCTCACAGTCTGGCGGTTTTTTCCCACTTGTAAATCATCCACTTCTGCCTCTCGTGGTTGTTTCACGAGCTTTTGCCGGCCTGTTAGCTGGGACCGGCAGAGACTGAATCCAGGAGATGCAGGTCATCCTGGATGGGGAGCATCACTTGGTGGCCCGAACCTTGGGGTATATTCCAAGGCCCATGGAGCCTTTGTCTCGCCGAGAGGCCAGAGATCCCAACCTCTTCGCACCGGAAGGGCTGTTCAGTGGTGGGCTTAACTGTGAGCAGTGGCTGGGCTGTGAAGCCCGAGCCATATGCTGAGTCAAGCTTGCCTTTGTGAGGCATTGATCCGACAGAAGGACTGGTCCTATTCGGCCGCCGCAGGGTGCGCAGCTCATTGCTTCGGTCTGGGCAGCGGCATGCATAAAGACTTTCCAAGGCCGGAAAGCTGGCCGAGAGGGAATGGAGACTTGGGGGTCACATGCGACAGATGCGCATGGAATCGCCAGAATCTCAGACATCCTTAGGCACCATACAAAACATATTATATATAATATATATATATATATATATTCTACTATTATTTCGGCTTTCAACCAGCTTGGGAGAATCAGCTTGGGAGAGCACACCAAGGAAGTTCCTCTCCGTGGCAGAGGCTGAGTTGCAGAATGCTTTTCCTCAGCCCAACCGGCTTTCTGCCGGCCGCTTGCCGCTAGGTGTGGGGCCAGCAACTGCCCAAGGGTGTGCCTACCTGAGCTTGCGCAACACGCACCCACACACAGAATTCCTCCAAGGCTTGGAGGTATTGACGGACAGAATCCTGCACCAACACTGGGATGGATGAAGCCCCACAAATACCGGGAAAAAAGAAGACCACCACCTGGATGCAGCCCTGATTTGGTGCATCCAGATCCAGCTGTTGTCCAAAAAACCGCAAGAACCGTTGAACTGGTCCGTCCAGACGCGGGTGTGGGTCAATATGAAACCACCAGGGGACCACTGGTTTTGGTCCATGTTTCCACTTGCCAGGGTTCCATTTGGGGTACCTATTTTTGACCCACATCCATGTCGCAACGAACAAGAAAACCCTCTCTGAGCGAAGGTCTGGGGCTGCCGGACCTGCGGCTCCCGCAGCCCGGCGGATGTGCGGATTTGCTGGAGCTGCTGGGGGCTGAGAGCGGTTCAGTCGCCTGGGGATTTGCCTCGACATGTTGACATAGGCGTCCTTTTTGTTTGTTTCGGTAGAAAAATAGATGGCCCTGGTTTACCTGGTGGTTTAATCATCTACCAGGGCCATCTATTTACCCTAAAAGGATACCGATGCATGTTGAGCCAACGGCCAAGCTCGTAGGTCAAAGTTGATGGTTTTTCATGACCTTCTCAGCCAGAAAATGCAGCGTTGTTGTTGGTGGTCGGAGGCCACACGGCGCGGCAAAAGAGCGCCGCAAGGCAGGCTTGATCCGACTTTGTGGGGTAAATCAAAGGCGAGAGGGCTAGGCTATGGACGCCATGGGAAGCAATTGGCGAGCTGGAGGGTTTTGCATGTTCCGACAGGCCGCCCAACGACGCTGATCCTCGACATGAGGGCCTCACAGTAAGCAGCGCAGCAGATGGCGCCTGTGGTAGATGGGAGTTGCAGGTACTGGTGGCCGATTCCTTCAAAGACTTGGTGCTGGAGTCAAAAGAGTCTTGCCCTTAGCTTCAAAGCCGCTTCACTGCATGCACTGTAGCAAAGTACCCAGGCACGTCTTCGTGCTCTTGTACGCGCCTTGGTGCGAGGCATGCGGGGCACCTAGACGGAGACCTTGTGTCAAGTTGATTTGCCCTTGCAGGTTGGATCAATTTGGGTGTGGCTCAAAGTTAAACGATCGGAGGGGCAAACCGCAGGTTTTGGTCCATGTTTCCACTTGCCAGGGCAACCCACTTTGGTACCGGTTTTTTGGAGCCACAGCCATTTTCAATACAAATTCACCGAATTGTCAGAGTTGAGCAACGGTTGTCCCGGGATGACGCATGCGAGGCCAGGAGGTGAAGCCTCATTGGAGAAAGCTGGCCAAGATGCTCAAGGCAGGGAGAACCAATCAAGACCAAAGAAATATACAGCGGTTGCTGGCGGTGAAAATTGGGCTGCAGATTCCGCGTGGCATTGCTGTGGGGATTCAAAAGTGCGGATATGCCATCTTGTTGGTAATGCCACAACGAATCCTGGACGCTGCTCGAGTGGATGGCATAACATTTGAGAGTGACAGGGGTCCAGCAACATCCGCATTGCCATGATGGACTCGGATGAGAATGATGCGTATGGGGGCCTGGCGCACTGAAAGTAGCTTGGGCCATCGGCAAATAGGGCAACCATCAAGTACCCCGCACGAAGGTGATGACGCGACTTCACTCCCGCTTTCTTATATCTTACGATGCCCTTTGCATTATGATGAAGGCCAATCGCTGTGGCTCACTTGGCATCATCAGCTTCAGAGTGGCCCTTGTCGCTGTTTGTAGCATTGGACGCGCATCAACCTATACGCCAAGTGTTCGCATTCAAGGGCTGGTGTTTTCTTAATTTGAAGTGCTCATCCTCTTGTTTCTCAGTACCACAACAATCACCCCAAACAGGCAAACATGTTTTTCACAGGCATTTGAGGTCCGTGCCAGGCTGTGATTCAGTGGCTGAGGCCCAGCCGCTTCTTCCCCGAGTCCTTCATTCCAAACGTCAAGCTCCGCGGCTGAACTTTCCGCAGCCAGGGTGTTTGCTCAGAGAGGTGTGTTGCAAGACTCCGAAGCTTCGGGGGTTGCTTACCTCCCACCAGCTAACATGGAAGTGAACAGACCCCTGTAGAAAGACTACTTTCCTCTTGGAAAGGACCTTTTTGCACTTCCATGTTAGTTGGTGGAAGGGTAAATGCAAACTAAGGGCAGCATATTGATGAGCACCACTCATTGAGATTGGGGGACGATTCGGGGTTTGCAGCAAGGCCTTGAAGGTCGCTTCTGTCAGAGAGCGCCACTTGGCAGATTTTCGGCGCAAGCTGCGTTGCTCAAGCCAATGCTCAGAGTCGGCAGCAGCCATCCTTGATTCCTCCACAAACATATAGACCTACGGACAGACTAGACAAACGCCCTTGAAAAGGGGTCGTGGCCGAAAGGAGTTTCTCTATTCTTGCATCGTTCTGGGCAAATGATAGTGGGCTTATTCTGGGGGTAGCGCGCTTGAACTGAACTATTTTTTAGGATGCAAAGCACAGAAGCCCATGACGGGGGGGTGGGGGATGACTCGGTCGCGTCTTCCCAGCTATGTGATCTGCGCCGTGGCAGTGCTGGCTTGGACAAGAAATGCCGACTCTCAGCTTGCCGAGGTGTCAATAAGTCTTTTTCGTGATGGCCAATAGGATTGATTGTGTCTCTGTGTGTGTGTGTGTGTGTGTGTTTTGAAGTTGTTCTTTGGTAGCTTCTCAGTCTGTGTAAAAGTTCCTTTGAAAAAAAGATGCGGAGCATAGCTCTAATCAGCCTTGCAGGGTACTCGGCGCCTTAAGGACCTGCGCCTGCTTTTCTCACTCCGACCGCCTCATCAAAGTGAACCTGTTGATGGCCCCTTGGGAGAAAAGTGCCAAATCGGTTGTAATCGGAGTCAGTGTTGAGCCTTGCAGAGTTGTGCAGTGTCGCCGACTGTGGCCCTTCTTGTGGAGTCTGTGCAGAGATCAAGTTGCAACTAGGCAACGGGTCAGCTTTTGTGCATGCTTCGGAGAGGAAGAGCTCAAGGTGAAGGGCTCAATCCAACCCGGTCTCACAAAACCAAGAGGTGTCACCCAAATTGTCCACCAGTTGGATGGTTCACAAGGGTCATGTCTCATTCCCTGCATCTCTCGCACCGATCGCAAGTTCTCAAATCTTCATGGGACCTCTGAGGAGTCCTGGCGGCGGGGGTCCCTGCCAGCGAGGCAGAGGGCGTAAGAGCGATGCAGAAGGTGGTGGTGAACCGCATGGAGCCGCTGGCAGATCCGCTGACGCTGCTGCGCTTTTATAGGCGGCCGTGGAACCCGCGTGGGTCAAACTTCTGTTGGCTTCGGCGTGGGGTTGTTCTAGACTAGCTTTTGGCTAAAACGCAAAAGTGCACCAGATCTAAGGGGCCTTTAAAGTGCGTTGGATCCAAACCGTGCAGGGCTCGAAGGATGAATGTCGAAGAAGCTCTCGAGATGTACAATGTCACACTAGACTGGCGAGCCAAGTATTCCATTTCTCGGGTCATGGATGCATTTGGAACTCCTGGACAGTACAGAGAAGACAGCGGCCGTGCCGGTGATACTGCGAAGTGGTCTTGGGTTCCAAGTCCCAACACACCAGAGGCCAGACTGGCGCTGCGCCACGCCTTCTTCGAAAGACTGCCTGCGCCAGTGCCAGAACCCGTTTTGATCTGGAGAGCAGGGGCTGCAGACTATAATGGCATGGTGCGGGAGGATCTGGTTGACCTCATGGTACAAGCCTTTGTGGTGCATCTGGAAGCCTCATGCCTGCATGTCAAATGTAGGTTGGGCGTATGATGGGCAGTGAGAAAGGCTTTCTGTTGAGGCTTATTGTTGGAAACATCTATTTCAGAGGCAGCTTCTTGGCCTCACGAGTATTGTAAGATGCGGGTCGCAGGCAGCCCTTTTCTTCGCACTGGCCAGGCTCAATGGCAGAGGCAGAAAGGTGTTTCCAGTAGCAGTTACTCTTATGCAGTCAGGCTGTTGTTGTTGTTGTTGTTGTTGTTGTTGTTGTTGTTGTTGTTGTTGTTGTTGTTGTTGGTGGTGGTGGTGGTGGTGGTGGTGGTGGTGGTGGTTGTTGTTGTTGTTGTTGTTGTTGTTGTTGTTGTTGTGGTTGTGGTTGTGGTTGTGGTTGTGGTTGTGGTTGTGGTTGTGGTTGTGGTTGTGGTTGTGGTTGTGGTTGTGGTTGTGGTTGTGGTTGTGGTTGTGGTTGTGGTTGTGGTTGTGGTTGTGGTTGTGGTTGTGGTTGTGGTTGTGGTCGTGGTCGTGGTCGTGGTCGTGGTCGTGGTCGTGGTCGTGGTCGTGGTCGTGGTCGTGGTCGTGTCGTGGTCGTGGTCGTGGTCGTGGTCGTGGTCGTGGTCGTGGTCGTGGTCGTGGTCGTGGTCGTGGTCGTGGTCGTGGTCGTGGTCGTGGTCGTGGTCGTGGTCGTGGTCGTGGTCGTGGTCGTGGTCGTGGTCGTGGTGGTTGTCGTTGTCGTTGTCGTTGTCGTTGTCGTTGTCGTTGTCGTTGTCGTTGTCGTGGTCGTGGTCGTGGTGGTTGTCGTTGTCGTTGTCGTTGTCGTTGTCGTGGTCGTGGTCGTGGTCGTGGTCGTTGTCGTTGTCGTTGTCGTCGTCGTCGTCGTTCCCCACCCGACAGGAAGGGGTTGATAGATTTTATGTTGGAATCCGCATTTGCGATGCTCCTACACCACGCCCCCACCCAGTATCCCGCCAGAGCAGCCAGTGGATCCCGCCGAGTATCCCGCCAGAGCTGCTCGCCAGTGGATCCCAGCCAGTATCCCGCCAGAGCTGCTCGCCAGTGGATCCCGCCGAGTATCCAGCCAGAGCGGCTCGCCAGTGGATCCCGCCGAGTATCACGCCAGAGCGGCTCGCCAGTGGATCCCGCCGAGTATCCCGCCAGAGCGGCTCGCCAGTGGATCCCGCCGAGTATCCCACCAGTCGTTGTCGTTGTCGTTGTCACTGTTGTCGTTGTCGTCGTTGTCGTTATCGTCGTCGTGGTTGTCGTCGTCGTCGTTGTCGTTGTCGTTGTGGTTGTGGTTGTGGTTGTGGTCGTGGTGCTCGTCGTCGTCGTCGTCGTCGTCGTCGTTGTCGCTGGTTATGTGTGTGACGCGGTATGCGCACTATTCAGGCGCTTGTTCGGCGCTTGTGCGCAAGCTTTGCACTTCCTGTTCGTTAGCTTTGCCGGAGGTCTGCGCTAGCTGCACGCAGGTGTCAGTTCTCTTTTTCAATCATACACTCCCTGGCTCTCGGTACTCTTTGCCTCTGTAAAGCCAGGGACCAACAAGTTGACAACCAATGCATGGCTGCCAAGGATAACGCGATCATGAGCTTTGTTTCGTTCTTGCTTCATAATCAGGTCGGCCGTTGAGGGTGCGAGACACAGGTGAGGGTTTTGGGGACACACACACAGACTCCACACACAAACACCACACACACCCGCACACCAGACACACACACACACACACCCGCGCACCACACACACACACACCCGCGCACCACGCACACACACACCACACACACACACATGCCACACACACACACCACATGAACACACACACGCGCGCAACACACACCCTACACAGCACCTAACACACCCTACAAACCCTACACAACCTACACACCCTTCACACACCACACACACACACCACACCCTACACACCCTACACAGCCACACCCTACACACACATCCTACACACACACACGCACATCCTGCACACACACACACACACACGCACATCCTGCACACAGACACACACACAGACACACACACAGACACACACACACCCACACCCACACCCACACCCACAACCACACCCACACCCACACCCGCACCCACACCCACACCCACACCCACACGCACACGCACACGCACACGCACACGCGCACGCACACGCACACGCACACGCACACGCACACGCACACGCACACGCACACGCACACGCGCGCACCGCACCCGCACCGCACCGCACCCGCACCCGCGCCCGAACCCGCACCCGCACCCGCACCCGCACCCGCACCCCGCACGCCACGCGCACACGCGCACGCGCACGCGCACGCGCACGCGCACGCGCACGCACGCACGCACACGCACGCGCACGCGCACGCGCACGCGCACGCACACGCGCACGCACACGCACACGCACACGCACACGCACACGCACACGCACACGCACACGCACACGCACACGCACCGCACACGCACACGCACACGCACACGCACACGCACACGCACACGCACACGCACACGCGCACGCGCACGCACACGCGCACACGCGCACACGCACGCACGCACACGCGCACACGCGCACACGTACGCAGCACGCACACGCACGCACGCGCACGCGCACGCGCACGCGCACGCGCACGCGCACGCACACGCACACGCACACGCACACGCACACGCACACGCACACGCACACGCACACGCACACTCATCGAGGTTAGATGTAGTTGTAGTTGCTTCTTCTGTTTTTTTTCTTCTTTTTTTGTCCTTCAGCTTCTGCTGCTGGACTGTTGTGTGGGGGAGGGGTTAGCGGCGTTGCGCTTGGTTTGATTCGATGCCATGTTGAGGATGCCCTGCAAGCAGCTCGGGCTGCCTCTTTGGGCAAGAGGGAGTTGGTCCGTGCCCGCCTCATCATCGACTGTGATGGCTTTTCGCTAGAGAACATCCGCCACATCCCGGTTCTGAAGAATATCATCGCACTGGGCAAGTCATACTTTCCAGAGGTGGCTGCTTCTGTAACGGTGGTCAGAGCACCGAGCTTTATCGCCACTTTCTATAGCCTCCTGACGCCGTTCCTGCCAAAGTTGCTGCAGGACAAGATTTCTATACTCGGTAAGGATTACCAGGATGGATTGCGGACGCACACCAGCCTGGGTGCAGACTCCTTACCGGAGTTTCTGGGGGGGAAGGTCAAGAGTCAGAACAATGTGCAGCCAGTGCCCAGAAATGCCTGGAAGTCCGTCCACAGCGATTAGGCAAAAGTCACGACGAGATGCGTGTGCATCTTGAGGCATCCATGACTAAGAATGTTATCGGCATCGTTTGGGCACATGAAGCACAGTACCTCATTCAAGTGCCCATGCGGCTTGGTACTAGAGATCGACTTGTGCAAGTGGATCATACCAATCCTGCTTACACTATGCTTGAGAGTGAGCCTCGGGTCTCTCGCATTGGACCCAGGCTGTTCCTGGCCGGAAAGAAGGGCAAGCCCTTGGCGTGCAACTCTCGCGAGAGGACCTTTGAGTCTCAGCCTCATGCCGCACGAAACCGCACGAAACCGCAAGCCGCACGAAAGGCGCAATGAGCTCAGGTCCTACGTGAAGATTTTGGAAGAGCACACAAATGTCAGCCTGGAGTCTGCAGCCGAGGAGCTGTTTGGAAGTCGGAAGCAAAGCAAAAGGCCTCGCAGCCTCTTGAGGTTTATGGAGAAGGTGCACCACCCATTTTACCTAGTGTTTGTCCTGGGATGTTCACCTGGGGTACGGGCTTTGGGATTTTGCCCCATGGCCATGTGTCCATTGTTGTGGCATAATTGATCCACATTGTGGTGAGCCCATGGCCATGTAAAGGAGCCAGTGCCAAATCACTACTGGATGCAACTCGTTCCCGACGATGTTTTCCCGAAGCCAGGGCGAAGCCAGGGGAGCTACCTTAGTGGGGAAGGTGGTTGAGGGTAGGTTGAACACGTCGCAGGACTTGCTTAGGGTGAAGATGGTTCTCCAGGCTTTTCCAAGGATGCTAGACGCAGGTTTTTCAGTCCGCGCATCTTGCCTAGGTTCCCCAGGATCGTGCCCTTTTACACTTTCTTTTTTCGGGGAGGGTTCCCCTAAAATCGACAAAACCGAAAGAAAATCGGGTACCAACTTATTCTAAACCTCTCTACTGGGGGACCCAGCCGCGCATCTTGCGCTCTTTTGGCTCAGGAGTTCTATCCACAGTACTGCGAAGTCAACTCGGTGCCCGCATTGGTGGAGGAGTTGCGCCAGGCTGCCATGATACAGGAGCGGGGGCCGTCAAGTTCTGAAAAGGGGACCTGGTATTTGGTCATCATGTTGGAGATTCATGTCCACCAAGCACTGTTGAGGTTCCCCTGCCGAAATTGAGGAGCTTGTGAGATTGACATAAATGGTTTGAGGTCTGGGTATGTTGTGTTCTTGAGTCTGTGTGTCTTCGTGCATGGAGTCATGGTGTTATGTGATGCTGCGTGGCATGGCAACTATCATCCTGATCATTGAACATTCCAGCCCGAGAAAATCCAGCAATTTGTGAGACGATGCAAGCATGCATCATCCAAAAATACGTGGTACTATCATGCATGCAAACATGTCTGATATCATGCGAGGTAAACTGTGCAGCAGGAGTGCGAGGAAACATAATGTGATCCAATGAAAGGCCATGCGACCTGTGCCTTTCACATATTTCTATCCGAGCCACTGCGAATTCCAACTTCCAGCTCGCAATGCTGACATGCAACATCAACTAGATTGCGATGCCCACACATATATAACACACTTTTTTTGTAAATGCCCACACGCACACTCGCAACCAAGCAAGCAAGCGAACGAGAGAGCAAGTACACAGGACAACAAGCAAATAAACAATCAAGCTGGCCGTGCCAAACTGACGGTATCTCTGACGCGGAGCTTTCTAAACATCTAACAGCCACATGTGAAAACGTGGGAAAACATCCAAAAGCATTCTGGAGCCCCTACCAAGCCAACCCATACCACCGTGCCACGCAAATGAAGCTGCGGTTTTCTCACCCACAGCAGAAGTTATATTCAGGTCCTTGGCCAATTCTGGGTTTGGGATGGCCCTGAGACGGACTTCTGAGGAATGAGTTTTGGCAGCAACACTTGTGGTTTATTTTCACTCCTTACGTTTCCCTTCAGATATGGCCATGGGTCATAACCTATGGCTCCATTTCGGGGCGGATGAACACCCATGTACGCATCTATTTTGACGTTCACCAGGGGTGCAGGGTTTGGACCCACAGCCCTATGGGTATGGGTCAAACCTCAACCACAAGGGGACCGCAGGTTTTGGTCCTTTCCACTTTCCAGGGTCTGGGTACATATTTTTGACCAGCCATATATAGCTCTTTGGATCGCAGGAGCTGAAGCTCATGCAGCCGCGCGCCCAATGGGGTGCTTCAAGAAAGTAAGCCACCAGACCACAGGTTGTAGTCCTTGGTTCATTTACCAGGGTTCCATTTTGGGTAGCCTTTGTTGACCCATAGCCAGTTGAGCCACGTGCTCAAAACCCGGGGATCGATGAAGGCTAGTAAGGGACAATCCCAACCACAAATAGCTGCGGATATCCGACTTCTTAATTCTTGAAGCATGGCTCTGGGTAGACCATGTTAGTACCGGGTTTTGATTATGACTCAGTTGGCCTTGTATCGTGGGAAATGGTGGGATTGGGACTTGTTTGGGATCTCTATGGTTCGAACTCAGTGAGACGACAGGGGTATGATGGGTTGTTTCAGTGTGATGTGTCATAGCTCGAGACTTGGACGGCTTCAACAGGAAACCAAGAGGAACTCCGAACTCCGAACTCCGGGTCCTTTTTGCTTCAACCAGAAAGCCAAGACAAAATTCGAGATGTTCTAAAGTCAACGCTTGGGTTCTCCAAGGAACCGCAAAGCCATCTTTTCCGTTTTCTCGAGGTGGAGAAGGCCTCCGGTGCAGACGCTGGCCTCCTTCCTGTACTCCTACCTGCTGGACTCCGAACCTCCCAGCCTCCCAGCCTCCCAGCCTCCCAGCCTCCCATCGGATGGGCCTCGGGTTGCCGGACCGGATATCGCAGATCTCCGTGCGTAGGACCCCAATGCGCATTCCGTGGCCATCACGCCCATCGCGGACGCTTGGGGCCAAGAGACTTCAAGAGGAGGTCGAAGTGAGTCACGGGGCCATTGGGCCAAGGCCATCCCAGAAGATGAGTCTCAGCTGGCCGCAGTCTCGGCCCGAGTTGGGTCCATGGAACCTTCGCCGTGCGAGGTGGCGGTGGAACCTACCCCACAGCCTCAGCTGCTGCCTCAGAACTTGCCATGTGCAATGAGCACTCAGATCCTGAAACGGACATGTTCGAAACGCCAGTCGGAGCTGGATGCCGATTTTCAGCCATCCCGTGTTCTCACAACAAGAAATGGCCGTGGCCCAAAAAGAATGATACCCAAAATGGCACCCTGGTCAATGGAACAAGAGACCAAAGCCCGGCGTAATTGTAGCTCTTAAGTTTTGAGCCACAGCCATTTCAAAACCAACACCCATTGACAAGGAGTCAGTTTGCGGACTCTAGGGTTGAGCCAAAACCAGCGCGGCTTGTCAGCCCGCTGGAGCATCCTGATAGGCCAGCCGCACCAGAAGCTGCCCGTCGGCTGTTGGCAAGTCGCCCAGCCTTGCAACGAGCGCTCGGAACTGAAGCAAGAACTTGCCCTCTGTTTGGCTCGAGACGAGTCGGGGGATTTGTGGGGCACAAGTGAGCATGGAGTCGGCAAGCAGATTAATGCAAAAGGTGGCAAAACAGACAACAGGACTGGGCAGGGAATTTGATTGAGCCTTGCGCCCTTCGCCCGCGATGAGTCATGTGGAGGATGCCCTAAAGCAACTGGCGGTGTCAGTGCAAGAGGAACTGCAACGCCAGATTCAACCGCTGGTCCAGCAGATAGTGACGCAGTCCACGGAGATCTGCATCAATCTTTGCAAGAAGGAGTTTTCAAAGATCATTAAAGATGGAGACCCGGTCCTGACTGCGGTGAATCATGGTGTGGGGCCTACGCCTGAAGAAGCTGCCAAAGCTTCGGCCAAGCTCTTGGTTTCTGCTGCCCTCCTCTCCGGCAGTCTGCGAGCGCAGGAAGAGACAGCCAGCGCGCCTGCCTCCACGTCAGCGCCTGAAGCCCCGGTGGCCCCGACCCCAGCCACTGCCGCTCCCACAGCCCCCGCTGCAGCTGCCACAGCCCCCGCTGCAGCGCCGGCCGCGGTGATGCCCAAAGCACCGAAGGTCAAGGCGCACGCGATGCACGCGGTGCACGCCATCCCAAAGCCCAAGGCCGAGCGAAAGAGCATCACCGAGGTCGTTGGCGGCATGACCAGTATGCTGTCCGGCAAGGCTGCGCCCAAGGCTGTCGCAAAAGGAAAAGCCGAGGGCAAGGCCGAAAACAAGACCGAAGGCAAGACAGAGATGCCAACGGTGATGAGTATGATTCGCAAGAGCCTCACAAACCCTTTGCAGGCAAAGGCTGCAAAAGACAAAGATGCAAAGGCTGGGGAGAAAGCAAAAAGCCCCATGAAAGTGCCAGAGGGCAAGGGCAAGGCACCCGCGAAAGCAAAGCCGCCGCCACCCACTCCGGTGGTTCCTGCGAGCGAGCCGAAATCAAACCCACCAAGCCCAGTAAGTCCAAAAGACACACCTGTCCCCAAGAGTGAGGCAGAGAGTGCATGAACACGGCCGGTGGTGCCGTGCCCAGATGCAATCTGTAGGCAGGACGAGAATGGCGTCCTGAGCTTCTTGCACGTATGTACAAAAAAAAACGGTCTGCCGGCCAAGAACCAGATATTGCTTTCAAGCTGCGACGGAGTGTCAGCCTATTGACCTCGCAGAAGCGCATATTTGCTAGAATCCCTTGTTAAGTGACGAAAAGCTGCGTGCTTGCTACCGAGTATTCCGGTCTGCAAATCTACGGCACTTGCCCAGGCAACATCACAAGTCGAGCCGCCAAGGCGCCTGCTTTGGCAATGCTTTCTGGCAGCATGTCGGCTGGCGCAGGTTGGTGCGGCACATATCGCAGCCGCCCGCTGGCGGACCCGCACCTGCACTTTCTCGGGTGCGCCGTTCGCGTGCTGAGAGGGTGCCAGTGCCAGTGCTCCCTGGCAGATGGTGTCAGAACGAGCCCCACCCATGCCATTGATGCTGTTACCTGGATGCAAGTGGCGCGTTCCGAAAAGTTTGTTGCTCATTCGCAGATATTGCAGTTCTGCTCAGGAATCGAGTCGTGTCTACTCCGCTGGAGCAGGTGAATGGTCAACGTCTCAGACGCTTGAGACACTGATGTCTACTTTGCAGGTGGCAGACCCGCACAAGCTGGAGGAGGAGCTGAAGCCACGACCTGAGGGTACTGTGCTCTTGAACAACTGATTGAGGTTTTGACTTGCTGGTGCTCAGTAGGGAATGAGAAATGGAATGACCCTATAAACCATCCCTTGTGGTTTCTTGCAAGGGGACCCCCAGGTTCATTCCCTCACTCTTCCTGAGCACCAGCATGATAGACGTGATAGTGCGGCATTTGGTTCTTGTTCTTGGTGTCTAGCCCAATGTTTGCATCGGGTCTTACGGAGTGAAGGGCGGGACATCATGCCTTAAGGCGTGCACATCTTTCAGAGTTGCTGGACGTGAAACTGCAAGCAGAGCTGAAGAAGGCTGCGCGTGATCGCGCATGGCGGATCCTTGCGTGTGCGCCCAACCCCCCTCCAGAAAGGCAACTTTGGTAGGGGTTTCCCCTACCTGGCATTGTGGTCATAGTAGGGCCATTATCAAAGACCTTTGCAACCATCTTGGTAAATTCAACGTCAACGGCCTTGGGCGCTGCTGACGTGTGAAGGTCGGTTCCGATCAATAAATCACCTTGTTGATTGGCATAAACACAGATTAGACATCAACTCTTTGAGTCTTTGAGAGCTTCCCGCTGTGGAACCATGACCTGTGACCCACGCAGCATGTTTCACCATGGCACAGGCCTTGTGGTTTAGACTGGTGCTACTTGCATGTCATGCAAACAACTAACCTTACTGGCCAAGTCAGAAGCAACTCGTGAAGGGTTGGTTGACACAGCAGCTCAATGTTTAACCACTCCTAGTGATTGAGAACTCCACTGCACGAACTGAACCGCCACAAGCACCCCCCTATGAGCATCACCACCACAAGATGCTGAGTTTCATCAAACAGAACCACAGGTGCCAAGGAGACTGACACTCCATGTTTTTCCTTGGGGTAGCTGTCCAGATGCGGCGTTCGCAGCTTTCTACTCGAGCTTCGATTCAGCGGCGCGTGATTCAGCGCAAGCCGGGCCAGGCGCAGCCCGACAACGTCAGAGACTTCGTTCGGGTCTTCTGCCTTCAGATGGCTGCCGCAGTCCCAGAGACCAAGGTCAGATTCACCGCAGATGGGTCAAAAAAATCAAGCGGTCGCAGGTTAAAGGTCCTTGGTTCCATAGGATTCCAAAAAGGGATACCCATTTTTGATCCACAGCTGGGCTTGAAGGAAAAGGCTCTTAGCCGACCAACAGGTGACGTGCCCCCACAACCCCTCTCGGGCAGTTGGAATTGCTCCGGGCAGCTGCACCATTGCTTTTGCCTGGCATGCAGCTAGCGTTTCGGAAGCAACACACGCAAGCTTTCACAAGACACTGGTAAAAACATGAACAATATCACTGGCAGTCACCACATCTATTCCTCCCTCGGGAGACAATTTCATCAGTCAGTTGCATTTGGGCAGCTGTCAATTTGATCATGTTGGGGTCAGTCGCGACATTGACTTTTTCTGGAGGCTTGAGCTCCTCCATTTTGTGATCGGGTCAGAGATAAGTGGTCCATGGGGCAAGTGGTCCACGGGGCAATGGGTCAAAACAACTGTTCCCATGAGGGTTGGTCGACTGCGGAAATACCACACTTGCATTTGGAGGTGGGGGCTTTTATTTTTGACCTGTTCACACGCCTGCGCGCGCCACAGGCTCCAAAGTTCCAGCACCGGCTGTTCTTCAACGCCCGACTCGGAGTGCCCGGCACCCACCTGGATCAGGGCGGTCAAGTTTCCCACGTGGAAGGGGAGATGCACCCGCCTGCGAATGCAGATTGCTTCAAGAGGTTTTGCATGAAAAGTATGCATGAAGGAGCCCGTATTTGGCTGCGTGGCTTCAAGCATGCGAGGATCAAAAGTCGCGCTGCAGGATGAAGTTACTAAGTATGAAGGGATGTGTCCTAGGGGTTGATGATACACAGCTCCTTGCGAAAGCGCTTTTGGAGGAGGTGACAAAACTGCAAGGCACCTGAAGGTTTGTGGTTCCAAATTGCTAGCTTCATGTCATGAAACTGGGGACCTCTAACCCAAATGGGTATGGGTCAAATTTAAAGCACCAGGGGACAGCAGGTTCTAGTCCTCACTTCCGTTTGCCAGGTTCCATTTTGGGGCTACCCTATTTTTGACACCCAAATGGTTGGCTTGTGCTTTGGTGCATTCTTGCTTGGATGTTAGGACTTTAGCCGTTTGCCAACTGATGGATTTTCCGTATTAAACCTTTAAAAAAAAAAAAAACCTTTTAGCAGAGCAGATTTAGCCACCGAGTGTGGGTTTGTTTCCGTTCAACATCAACTGAGCCACGTGCTCAAAGCCCGGGTAAATGAAGGTTAAGGGACAATCCCAACCATAAATACCTGCGGATATCCGCCTTCCTAATTCTTGAAGCATGGCTCTGGGATTACGACCATCTTACCGGGTTTTGATTATGACTCAACTGAGGGGTCCAAAATTTTGGACGAGGTCCTGGCGAAGGGCGCCGGCGGCCACGGCTGTTACGGCCGCTGCTCGCATCTTCCGCTGCGTGAGGCAGTCGAGTTGGGTTGGGTGGGGGTGGTGTCCGGTGCTTGTTTTGGCTGGAAGCCCGCCCAATCTGGACAAGGCAAACTTGCACAGGTTTTTCTTTGGGGAGGCATGAACGAAATGATCGGCATTGTTACAGATGAGGGATCTGCCGCCCAGGCATCCTTGTCTTCACTCAATGACCTCAGAACATGCCCCCACTTCTCGGGGTTGATTCCCCATTCTTTTCAGCCATCCTTCTTTTCAAAAGCCAGATCCATTTCCCCCGTTTCCCCGGGGTTTTTGGTGGATTTCTAAAAATAATGATGTTTTTAGTGGTTTTTGGTGGTTTTGAAAACCCGGCAATCCCTGGAAAGAATGGAATTGGAAGTTACCCCTAGACCATTGGGGAATAATAGAGTGTGACTCGGTCTGGCAGACGATCACAGGCGCTGGGTGAAGCGGGAGCTGGCGCGCTTCGGCAAAGCCCCCCGCATGGTGGAGCTGGCTTGGGCGGAGGCCGGTTGAACGATTTTTTCCGGCCAGCGCCCAGAAAGGTGCGTGGTTTGTGGGTGCTGCTTGGTTCGCTAGCATCATTTGTTATTTTATTGCCTTCCTGTAGCAAAGAGGGTGGCAGAGAATATGTACAAGCTCCTATGTGTTTGCCCCATTCGAGCTCCTATGTGTTTGCCCCATTCGAGGCTTCTTGTACTCACAGCCGCGCATGCGGCCCTTGACGTGAGTAGAAAGATAATTCGACGTATGACGCAAGTGACGGTCTTTTCTAGCTGAGCCGAAATAACCTGCAACGCTCCAACGCCCTTTGGGCGTTTTCCGCGAAATGCCGCAAAAGGCACGGGTCGCTCCCATGACTGCTGCTGCGCTGCGGAGCAACTGGCGCCGGGCTCGAGCCCTGGGTCGAGACAGGAGGCTTCCCTTTGGCCATGTTCAACTTGAATGCATGAAGGGAAATGCCTCTCCCAAGCAGAAATAGGCCGGGGGCCACCACATATATGGCCATGGGTCAAAAGCCGAATCGTACCCCCAGTGAACATCCCAATCCAACCACTAAAATAGGCTCTCAAATGGGTGGTGCACCTATCCGAAAATGGTACCATCGGTTTTGAACCATATATATATATATATATACATATTATATATAATATATTATTTTTTCACGGGTGTGGATGTTCTTGGGAGCAGGCCGGTCTTTACCTTGGACGCGTCCTTTTCGATTCGTGTGTGGCTTGTGGTATTTTCGCGTTGTTTTTGTTTTCGTTCAACGCTGCGATAGTTCCAGCCGGAGGCAGGCGTAAGATGGGATTGGTGACTGGCTTTTTGTGGCGTGGAGATGGCCATCATATATATATATATATATGGGGGTTGATCAAAAGGTCCTTGCAAGGAGTTATGTATTCGGTGACCATTCGTCTTTGTTTAAATCCCTCCGACACCTTTTTTTCGCGAAAGATTCCGCGTTGGGTTCTTGGAGGCATCCTGTGCACTTGCATATTTCAGACCCCGCTCCCTTGTAGACAGGGAGATGCGCAGCACTTATTAATACTTGCAGTATTGATTCTCATTCCTGCAACGTTGGCTGGGCTATTTTGGAGCAAGTTTCGCGAAAGATCCGCGAAAGACCGGCGAAAGTCCATGGAGCTTGTTGCAAGGTTCCGCACTTCCCCGGCAAGCGCAAGTGACAAGGGCGAATGACGGTGACTGCTTTCTTTTAACTGCAAGCCTGCCAGCGCAAGTGCACTGCGGCTACTGTGTTTGCAAGCACAACTGCAGCAGCCACAATGGCTCCAGAGCGCACGCTGCAAACAAAAGGGCGTGGCGATGGAGTCGCGAAAGATTCGCGAAAGAATTTTTTTCTTGCGAAGATGGCGTTTTCCGGAAGCAGGAATATTGATCAACTGCCATATATATACACAAATATGCTTTGCTTATATTAATAATAGCCAAATAACAAGAATAATAATAATAATGATAATAATGACAATAATAATAGAAATAGTAATATTCATAATTAGGGTATTACTAATAATGATAATGACAACGATAATAAAAACAAGCTACTAATTTAATACTATGATAATAACAATCAAACTAAATAATAATAAGAGTAATAAAACTAACACTAGTAGTCATAATAGTGTCAATCATGATAGGAGTAATAAAAGCAACACTGGTACTCACAATAAAAGTAAGGCTAACAAATCTGGAGTAATATTAGTGATAATGATAGTAATAATACCAATCATAATAACAATAATGATGAGACTAGTAGTGGCAGCAGAAGTAGTGGTAGCAGCAGCAGCGGCAGCAGCAGGAGCAGGAGCCGGAGTAGTAGCAGTAGTAGTAGTAGTAGTACCAGTAGTAGTAGTAGTAGTAGTAGTAGTAGTAGTAGTAGTAGTAGTAGTAGTAGTAGTAGTAGTAGTAATAGCAGTGGTAGTGGTAGTAGTAGTAGTAGTAGTAGTAGTAGTAGTAGTAGCAGCACTACTGCCAATAACGCTAAGCATGATAAGAATAAGAATGTCAACTTGCATATATACATATATATTATACACACATAACGTACATTGATCCATTCTTACGTGTTGACTTGGGCCATTTGCCCCAAGGTCGAGGATGCCATTTGCAAGGAGACCAGCCGGGAGGCCTCGGATCGATCCCGCGCCAAGGCGCGAGGGCCTCGCACTTTCGTCGCCAGGCCGGGGTCGCAGCGCTGCAAGTGCTGCTGGAGCGCGGCTTCGATCCCAACGCGGCTCCCTTCGGGGTCTCGCCACCTGCTCAGGATCTTTGGAGCGCAAAGGGTCCGGTCCATTTTTGGTTGAATGTATGGCCCCCCCTTTTTAAATTGTGGGCTACTGCGGTGTCATATTTGTCTTGCAGCACAATTGAATGATGTTGCTTTGATGCGATTCTTGCCTTCTATGCGTTGATTGAGGCCGCTCTTGCTGTCAGCCCTTGCAGGGACCGCACGCGCGAGTGTTGGCAACAATGGCAGATGGACAAAATCCAAGACCCAACAACATGTGGAACCTCATGTTGTCAAGAATGAATATCATCATCCTACTTAATGAATGTAATGTAGGTGCTGTAAGATGTTGTCCATGTTTTGCTCTCACTTTGGGTCAAGGTAAGACGCTGTCACGTTCGAATTTGGTTCTTAGCAACAGCCGACCACATTTGTCCGGCCAGGAATCTCCACGCTGCACAGTTTCTGTATGTGCGTGGTGCAGACATGCACCGAGCAGGAGGCTGGACATATAGGGGGCTGCTGACATGAGCACAAACCCCATATGTGCTAGGTGTGAGCCAGCAACAGCAGCTGCTCCCCATTGACGGGGCATCAGCATGTGGATATTTGCGCGCTCGTCTCAGTCCGCGTGGCGCGGACCACAAGAAGCCATGTTTTCGAAGAAATCCTGCTAGAGGTTCCACCCCTAGCATCATGCTCTGTTGTCAAAGCGGGTTGATGTGTAGATGGAGCTTCCCCTGTGGCGGCTGACCCTCTCTTAGTGCCGAGCTCGGTGCTGAGGTATGGCGCTCTTCTTCAGGGAGAACGGTTCCACCGGAGCCAGGGCTTTGCACTTTGCAGCTAGCGCCCGCCTCGACTCGACACATTGTCGTCCGCCGTTTTATCAACTATGGCTTGGGGAAATGAGTCTAAACAACCACACAGTGTTGCCTGTGCATGGAGGACAACCAACAGGTCGCAGTCCAAACAGTCTGAGCATAACAAGACCTTACTTAGGTGGCGGGCACCTGGATGTTTGCAAGTACCTCCTGTCCACGGGCGTGGGAGACTGAGAGGACTCTTGTTGCTATCGGCCTCAGTGGGAATCACTGCATAGGGTAGGGGGGCAGCAAAGGACCCTGAAGAATGGCCATGTTTTGTTGCGTCTGTTGTCGAACAACGATCGCAGGATGCAACAGGGAAATTTATGAAGAGATGCAGCTTGAAGTATCACCTGGATCTGAAAATTGTGCTGCGTTCTCGCTTAGCTAGTGTGCTTGCATTCGCTGTGTGCCAACATCAGGGGGCCCTCCAAATGAGCAGCGTTGCGTTTGTTCCCGGCGGAATTTCTCAGAGAGCTGGTCGACATGCCGCGCGTGAGACCCTGGTATGCGCCAATAGGCATTGAGGCGGCTGGTGGTGGATAGTTGCACAGTAAGCATCATGTGGGACTTGCTTTTGTTGGACAGTAGAGGACTTTAGCTTGCGGGCAACTGCCGTGCGTCCCTGCAACATGCCATCAAGCATATTTGGTTTGCTTCCTCACCTCACTCTCGTTGCTTGGAAAGCATACAACAAAGTTGATGAGACCAGTCGCCACAGCACGTATCCCCGCTGAAGCAGGGTCGAGCAAGCCAGAGTTGGTTCAAGTTTGAAACACAGAGTGTGAAATACAAGGGAGCAAACCTTAAATGGCTTCAGGTTCCCTTTGAAGTCTCACGGCCCCTCTCATGACAAAATGCCAGCTGTCCAAGCTGTGATGTTTTGTTTCTACCTCCCAGATTTAGCGCGCCATTCACCCAAAAACCATGCTTCACCTCTCTCTCCTGGTTCTCTCTCCGGTGAAGGTCAGCCCGGACTTGAAGGCGGACAAGGGGCTCTCGGCCTTCACTTTGGCGGTGCTGTCTGGTGAGTGCCTGGCAGCGCTGGCGCAGGCCCCAGGCTCTCAGCTTCAACCGTTGTGGGCCGGACTCGAGTCAGGTTAGTCAGGTTTTCAGCTTGCGAAGAGGGAGGGGCGTCTCTAGATATGACGCTTGGGGCAGAATTCAGCAGTTGTGGGTTTTGTTCATGGCTTCCTTCTCGATTTTGTTTGCCCAGTGGCAGATTGCAGATGTCTCTTGATTGGGTGGGGTGATGACCCATCGGATGCAAGCAAAGACATTGGCTTATCCTTCGGGAGGCAAGCCCCCCCCCCCCCCCCGCCCCAAAGACATACTGCCATGTTGTTTTGCTTCCTTCTTTTTTTTGGCCGGCCGGGGGGGGGCAGTTTGACGGCCCTCACACTGCGTGAGGGCCATGAACACCTCCCCGCAGTTCAAGGGCTTCCTCAGCGACCAAGGTCCTTCTGCCGCACTGCTCTCCAGCCAACCTCGAAGAGGCGACTTTGGGGATTCTTTGCCTCTTCGAGGCAACCTCAAGACACCCTCAAGACAACCTCAATGCGACAATTTTGAATAGGCAACCCTAAATCCTAGGGTTGCATGCCTTGTTTGAAGCATTGGGAGCAAAGCAAAGGTGGCCACGAGGGCTTGAAGCCTGTTTGCCACATGGGTCAAAATGAAAGCACCAGACCGCAGGTTTCAGTCCTTGGTTCCATTTGTCAGGAATCCAATTGTGTGTACCAGTTTTTGACACACACCCACACAACCCAAAGGAATGATGGCTAGTGTCCCCCCCCAAGCTTGATGGTACAGCACGTCAATACCTCTTGAATATGATAGGAACGGAACATGTTTCGCCCGGCTAAGATGAGGAGGCCAAAAGTTGCCAGAGCAAGAAGCATTGCGTGCAGGCCTTGCCTGGCGAGCTCTGCTGGCGTGTAGGCCGATCCGCAAAAGGGCAGTTCTGCTTATGGCCAATCTGCTTGAAATCTTCGCCCGTTGGAATTTGTCAATGAAGAACATGGGCGACCTCCCCTCCGAAATGGCTTGGTGGACATAGCCTCCACCTAAAAATGGTTTGGCGGACATCATGACATCGACTTAAGTTTGATGTCCACCTGCCCCATTTCGGCCGATGCCCAGGTCTGGCCGGCGGGTCCACCGTGCTGCATTTGGTGGCGCACTTGGGCGGAACCAGGGCGGAGCCTCCGAGTTTTGGGCTTCGGGGATGGGAGTTTCCGGGCTCATTGAACGTCTGACAGACATGTTCCGAGGTTTGGGATGGGAGTTTGGCGTTTTGGGGATGGGAGCTTGCGGACTCATACGCTGAGAGCCATGCGGGCCACGGGTGTCATGTTTCACGGCCGCCAGGAAAGATTACTGGCTCCGCTGCTGCAGCGCTGTCCAGCGCTCTTGAACCGAGCCAACTGGGCGCAGGCAACGGGAGAGTGGCCAGATTGCCTTTGCAATGGTGTCCGTTGAAGCAATGATGTGTTTGGCCTGTAGGAAATTCCTGCCATGCTGTCGCCAGCCATGTCGGCTGCCTAGTGTGATTCAGTGGCGGCCAGTCCGATTCCAGCCAGCATTGCCCAAGCCAAATCTCTCTTTGCCATCATGCAAACTTCCAGGACTTCCAGGCAGTTTAGCGTTTGCGGCGTAAAAGTGCCCGTGGATTCGCTGCGTTTCCACGTGTCGAAGCTACGGCTCCGCTGTCGCGCCTAGGATGCGGCCCACCCTGCAGCCGCGCTCGCTGCATGCCTTCGAGGCCCTGGGCGCGCGGGCCTCGGAGCGGAGCAGCTTTTGCGGCTCGGGGGAGGCCAAAGTTTGGGGGAAAGCCGGCATTTGGGCGTGGGTCAAAATTGAACCACAAAAAAAACCCGCAGGTTATAGTCCATGTTTCCATTTACCAGTGTTCCAATTTGGGTACCTATTCTTGACCCACAGCCATTTGGCTGTGGGTCAAAACCAATGGGATCCCATTTTGGGGTAGGTGAATTCACCACCCATGTTAGAACCTATTTTAGTTGGGATTGGGATGTTCACTGGGGGTACGATTCGGATTTTGACCCATGGCCATTTGGATGTTTTTTTGGCTGTGAAGCTAAATGGGGAAGCGTCCCACATGGTTGGTTGACATCAATCCCCACCTAAACTATGTTTACTAGAGGGCCCCTCACTAGAATTCGCACCCATACGCTCGGGGTCGGAGACTGTTTTTGTCGGGGCTTCAACCCCGTCTCTTTGGATGGGGCTGAAAATTAGAAGAGCTATCGTTACGCTGGTTTTAGTCTTTGGTTCCATTTATCAAAGTGCCATGTTGATACCGCTTTTGAGCCACAGCCATTTGGATGTCGTGTGCCCGTTTGAGATTCCTTCAGGAATGCCCCGCAAGTGCCGGCGTGGAGGACCGAGTAAAGGTTGCCGTGGCAGGAGTCCGAAGCTCAGGGCAAGAAAGGTTCAAGTTCATTTGGGCATGAATTGTAGTTAGGGACCCTTTGGTGCGCTTTGGTGGACATCATATAGGTGGGGATTCATGTCCACCAAGCACAAATGAGGTGATTCCCTGTTAAAGTTCATGGCCATTTCGTTTGTGTGCACTGAGGTCTTGGGAGAAGATGCGAGCGCAACGGAAGATCAGCTGAAAGGAGAGATGTGCGAACAGGCCTCGGAAAGGCGCAGCTTTTCAGAGACAGAGAGGGAGAGGGAGTGAGTGTTCTGACATTACCGGATAGAATGGCACTCGTTTGGTCATCCCTTGATGTTTCTGGCCGTTGCTTCGCACTGAGGTCATTTGCATGGAGGGCCCATCTGATGGTGTCACGCACTTGGCAGATAGGCTTGGCGTTGGCCAAGTTGAAGTCTCACCAAGGAGACTCCATTCAAGCGGCTATACTGTGGCCACTGCTTCCATCGCGGCTGCACGGCGCTGAATGTTGTGACCTGGGATCGCCAGAGAGAGTTGGAGCTGACATGGAGCCAAATGACATTGACAATCCCGATGCTGCGGTTGTCAACAATCGGGTGACCCCAAAAGGCTTGCCCTGGCAAATGGAAAAGTAGATTAACTAACCTGCGGTCCATGTCCTGGTGGTGTAATTCTGACCCATACCCAGATGGCCATGGGTCAAATCCCGTACTTCCAGTGAACATCCCAATCCCCACTAAAATAGTCTACAATGGGTGGTGAATTCACCTATCCCAAAATGGTACCATTGGTTTTGACCCACAGCCAGATATCCCGTGGACAGCTTCCAAAACTTTGGGATCCTTCGATGGCGTTCTCCGTTTTTCTCGGAGGCCTGGGCGGCTGGCGCGCTGAGGGCCAAAACGGCGCCTCATGCGGGCGGCCCAGAGGGCTGGGAGGGTGGGTCCGGACTTGGCGCGACGGATGCGCTCGGATGCCATGGTAGGTGTTGAAAGGGGGAGGCTCGCGCATGTGTCTGGCCTGGTCTTTGAGGAACTTGCCCGCGGAAAGCCGCCATATGCTCTGTGCCCTGAACAGGTGGCAGGTGTCCTGCCGGGGAAAAGAGTTTTTGTCCACCCAAGCCTGGGTTGCACGGTTGCCCTTTGCCTGAAGCACCAAAGAGGAAGACGCAGAAAGCGGCAGGCGTTTTGCGACAAAGCTGGCTTGGACTTGGGGGAAGGTAGTGCGGCTGCCTTGTGGCGGCATGCCTCAGCGACGGAGCAGCCGTGAAGACATGCGGAGCGCAAGCCGGTGCAAGGCCCTGCCTGCAGAAAGCCATTGCCGGAGCCCACCGCTTCGGCAGAGGCGGGAGAGCATTTGACTTGCTTCGACCTGAAACATGCCAGTTGGTGAGCAAGAGCATGACGTAACATCCCCCCTGTGCCAGTGCCCCCATCCGTGAGACGACTCGACGACCGTTCTCGAGCCGTTTGCGCGTGCTTGGCATGAACACGCGCAACGCGCAGGCGGGTGGCCCCACACTGCTGGAAATGGCGGCCTTGGCCAACGACGCGGACTTCGCGTCGCTGTTGCTCTCTGTCGGTGCTGGTGGCAAGGCTCGCATGGGCTGAGAAGTCTGAAGCAGCATTCGAGCCTTGAATGATGTGTCCATATTATGCTTACGATGCTTAAATCTCTCCCGTCCTGTCAAGGTTGACAAGGTTTTGGCAAGTCGGATTCGAAGGGTACTTTGGGCCCTGATTTCGGGCCTCTCCAGTCCTTTTCGGCCGCAACAGTAAAACAACATGAGTTGCGCTGTTTTTCCAGCGCAGGAGAGGCCCGGACAAGGCCCTTCATGAGCTTGCCAAAGCTTGACTTTTGGAACAACGTGTAGCAAGTGTGATGCTTCTGGCTGGATAATTCTGTCGCGATCTGGAGGCAGTATTGTCACACGTATTGGCAAGATCTATTTGATCAATGGCTGTTTATGTTGTTGTATTTTTAGTTTATCTTTGTTTTTTTGGGAGGGGGGGTGGTCAAAAAGGGAGTCATCTCTTTCTTCTTTTTTTTGGGTGGGGGTCGGTGCGTCATGGGTGAAAGCTCAACAAAAACAGGGGGATTTCGTGTGGGAAGAGCCAGGAAAAAGGACGGTAATGAATCAAGGGTTTTCGTCATCGGGAACATTGCGACTTTTCGGCGTCATTTTGCCCGAGGTTGCATTCCCTTGCATCGTGAAGACTAACCCCTTGCCGCCAGGCTTCGAAGAGTTCAGAAATCACGTCCTTGATGTGGGCTGGAGCCTGAGGTGGTTGCTCGCTTGGGCGCTTGCTGCGCTTGCTGCGCTTGCTGCGCTTGCTTGCGCCTAGGCCCACTGGCAAGGGGCCGAGGATGTTGTGTCTATCCTCACAGCCAAAGGTGGGACCTGATCCAGCGCACTTAGAGACCCTGAGCCAGCGTCAAGATTCTGCGCCTTCCAGCCAGGATGGCAGCTGACCAACAGCGATCTCGAAGGCACTGGAGAAGATCTGGGTATATCTGGGTAGAAGCATTTCGAAGGACCACAGCGCCAGTAAATTCCACGAGGACCAAGGGGCACTGGATAATGTTCCGATATTGGCATTCGTGCTTCAGCGTGTGGGGCGCGGCTTGCTGAGCGGTCCTTGGGTTCGAGAACTGATCGAGTCAAGCAGGGCGTACGACTGGTTTCGCACCCCCGAAAGTGGGCTATGGATAGCAGAACGTGTTGACTTTCACTTAAAAGCCAAATTTTCGGATCGTGTTTTGTGTAGAGAAGGACTGGTGCAGTTGCCCGAAGCTAAGAAAGGAAGGCAAGGCTCCGCCTTTTGGACCAGCCACGGCAGAATTCCCCAAGCTTCAGCCAGGCTTGCAGCTGCTCAGAAGCCTGCAGCGCCAAGCAAGCAAGCCACAGGTGCCGGCGGGTGGGAGAGGTGGGTGAGGGTGGCGTTTGTTTTGGTAAGCGGGTGATCGCCTGCCTCGAACGGGGAGGGGGGGGGTACAGGTGCCATTTCCGGACAATCTACAGAACATGGCCCCGAAACCCAAGCCTTTGACACATCATTGATCCGACTTAGACACGCCACAACTCTGAGTGTCTTGCAAAGGCTGAAAAGCCTGCTGGCGCCTCGACTTCGCGTTGCGCTTAGTCGCCATGCAAGAACAGCTTCCAGCTGTTGAGTTGTGCGTTGACATGGGGGCAGTGAGGTCAGAGAAGAGAAAATCTGCCGAGGAGCTGTGATCAACAGTCATGTACCAAGGGGACAATGAACAGGCAAACATCTGAGCAAGCATGCAGGCCACATCGTAAGCTAAGGCCAAAGGAGTAGATCTTCAGAATCATCAAGTTTTGATCACTTTTGTGAGGCTTAGTCTTGTGACTTCGAAGCAAGCGCTACTTCACACAAGGAGAAGGACAGAGACAAGGACAGAGACAAGGACAAGGACAAGGACAAGGATGAGGAGGACGAGGAAGACGAAGCGGTCGATCCTACAGTGTTCTGGCCCCAGCATTTCAGCAGAGCAGCGCAGCGCAAAAAACCCAAAACGATCCCGGGCGGTCCGACTGAGGTTGCAGCTCTTGGACGTGAATGTGTCAAACTTGTGGCACCACCTGTGTGCAAGGGCCCTCAGCGAACGGAAATGCCTCAAATGGGTCTCCTGGAGAAAAGGGGTATACTCGAAAGACACCCAAGCTTGAAATTCTCGTTTCTGAGCCAACCTGCGCTTTGCTCCACAGCCGCTGGCCTGAGCTCACGAGGCCGTGAAGCACAGCGAAGCTGTGCTTGAGCTTCGGGCGCCTAGCTCAGCTCAGCTGAGCTTTGATCTGGCTGTGGTTGTCAGAACCGTTTTGGGATCCCATTTTGGGGTGGTGAATTCACCACCCATTTAGAACCTATTTTAGTGGTTGGCTCGGGATGTTCACTGGGGGTACGGGCTTTGGGATTTTGACCCATGGCCATCTAAGAGGACTTCTGCTGAGGCGAGGATGGCGTTTAGCGCCAAGCCCCAGTCTGGAGCCTGGGATGTGGCGTGAAGTGTGGAATCGCAAAGCGCCATCCACATCCGCCCGGACTCAGGTCGGTGATGACTTCAGAGCGACCAAGGGTATGCTCCTCAAGCTTGAGCATCAGGTAAGGCAAATGCCCCCAGGAGTCAGGTTAAGCTTGCCTGAGGGGCTTTCTCAGCAGACTCTTCGGAGACTTGCCCGACCCAAGTGGCCGTGTGGAATCTGAGGTAGAAGACCCTCAGACCAGCGCGGCCGAACTTTTGAAGGCCTGCAGAGCTGCGCCATTGGCTTACCAGCAGTCAGCAGTCCATTGCCAGTCAGCTCAGTCCGGTTCCGTCCAAGTAAAGTAGGACTGCAACTTTTCACAGTCAGCCGCTCAGCCATTCTCTTATATTTCATGTCCTTAAACCCCCCCCCCTCCATCCCCCCCTCCATCCCCCCCCCTCCATCCCCGCACCAATGCCTTGCCACCAGCCATCGTCCAGCACTTTCGAAGCATGTTCCGAGGTTGACCAGCGCTGGCGAGTCTGTCGCAGCTGCTGAAGCTAGCCTCGAGGCCTGACAAAAGCAACTAGTATTGTTGCGTTGGTTGATGATAGTGTCGCAACATGCAATGAAAGTGAAGAGGCATGAACAGACGTGCTGTCCTAGTTGTTTTCTATCATGGAGGAATGGCACGTCCCTTCATCCAGACTTTGAGAACATGAAATTACGAGCCGAGCCCGACGCTTTCATTCCCTTTCCCGTACCTGTCCAACAGTTTTGAAACCTCATGTGAGCCACGGACAAAACACGCGTAGACCACTTTATCAAGACGGGGCACGCTTTTGAGTAACACATCCCAAAACCATGGAAAACGATGAGGTCTCCCCCAAAAACGATGACCCTTAACGAACACACGGCTCTGTAAATACGACACTTGTACTGAGAAGTTGCGATTTTCGAGCTGGAGATGCGGAAGTGTACTTCGCGTACAGCCTAGGCTTGTACTACAAAGCTGCGATTTTCGAGCTGGAGCTGCGGAAGTGTTCTTCGCGTACTAGACTTGTACTACAAAGTTGCGAATTTCGAGCTGGAGCTGCGGAAGTGTACTTCGCGTACTAGACTTGTACTACAAAGTTGCGATTTTCGAGCTGCAGAGGCGGAAGTGTACTTCGCGTACTAGACTTGCACTACAAAGTTGCGATTTTCGAGCTGGAGATGCGGAAGTGTACTTCGCTTACTAGACTTGTACTACAAAGTTGCGATTTTCGAGCTGGAGCTGCGGAAGTGTTCTTCGCGTACTAGACTTGTACTGCAAAGTTGCGACTTTCGAGCTGGAGCTGCGGAAGTGTACTTCGCGTACTAGACTTGTACTACAAAGTTACGATTTTCGAGCTGAAGATGCGGAAGTGTACTTCGTGTACTAGACTTGTACTACAAAGTTGCGATTTCGAGCTGGAGATGCGGAAGTGTACTTCGCGTACTAGACTTGTATTACAAAGTTGCGATTTTCGAGCTGAAGATGCGGAAGTGTACTTCGCGTACTAGACTTGTATACAAAGTTGCGATTTTCGATCTGAAGATGCGGAAGTGTACTTCGCGTACTAGACTTTTACTACAAAGTTGCGAATTTCGAGCTGGAGATGCGGAAGTGTACTTCGCGTACTAGACTTGTATTACAAAGTTGCGATTTTCGAGCTGGAGCTGCGGAAGTGTACTTCGCGTACTAGACTTGTACTACAAAGTTGCGATTTTCGAGCTGGAGATGCGGAAGTGTACTTCGCGTACTAGACTTGTACTACAAAGTTGCGATTTTCGAGCTGGAGCTGCGGAAGTGTACTTCGCGTACTAGACTTGTACTACAAAGTTGCGATTTTCGAGCTGGAGATGCGGAAGTGTACTTCGTGTACTAGACTTGTACTACAAAGTTGCGATTTTCGAGCTGGAGATGCGGAAGTGTACTTCGCGTACTAGACTTGTACTACAAAGTTGCGATTTTCGAGCTGGAGCTGCGGAAGTGTACTTCGCGTACTAGACTTGTACTACAAAGTTACGATTTTCGAGCTGGAGATGCGGAAGTGTACTTCGCGTACTAGACTTGTACTACAAAGTTGCGAATTTCGAGCTGGAGATGCGGAAGTGTACTTCGCGTACTAGACTTGTACTACAAAGTTGCGATTTTCGAGCTGGAGCTGCGGAAGTGTACTTCGCGTACTAGACTTGTACTACAAAGTTACGATTTTCGAGCTGAAGATGCGGAAGTGTACTTCGCGTACTAGACTTGTACTACAAAGTTGCGAATTTCGAGCTGGAGATGCGGAAGTGTACTTCGCGTACTAGACTTGTACTACAAAGTTGCGATTTTCGAGCTGGAGATGCGGAAGTGTACTTCGCGTACTAGACTTGTACTACAAAGTTGCGATTTTCGAGCTGGAGATGCGGAAGTGTACTTCGCGTACTAGACTTGTACTACAAAGTTGCGATTTTCGAGCTGGAGCTGCGGAAGTGTACTTGACTTGCGTACTAGGTGGACTACAAAGTTGCGATTTTCGAGCTGGAGCTGCGGAAGTGTACTTCGCGTACTAGACTTGTACTACAAAGTTGCGATTTTCGAGCTGGAGATGCGGAAGTGTACTTCGCGTACTAGACTTGTACTACAAAGTTGCGATTTTCGAGCTGGAGATGCGGAAGTGTACTTCGCTTACTAGTTGTACTACAAAGTTGCGTTTTCGAGCTGGAGATGTGGAAGTGCACTTCGCTTACTAGTCTTTTACTACAAAGTTGCGATTTTCGAGCTGGAGATGCGGAAGTGTACTTCGCGTACTCGACTTGTACTACAAAGTTGCGATTTTCGAGCTGGAGCTGCGGAAGTGTACTTCGCGTACTAGACTTGTACTACAAAGTTGCGATTTTCGAGCTGGAGCTGCGGAAGTGTACTTCGCGTACTAGACTTGTACTACAAAGTTGCGATTTTCGAGCTGGAGCTGCGGAAGTGTACTTCGCGTACTAGACTTGTAAAACAAAGTTGCGATTTTCGAGCTGAAGATGCGGAAGTGTACTTCGTGTACTAGACTTGTACTACAAAGTTGCGATGATCGAGCTGGAGATGCGGAAGTGTACTTCGCGTACTAGACTTGTACTACAAATTTGCGATTTTCGAGCTGGAGCTGCGGAAGTGTACTTCGCGTACTAGACTTGTACTACAAAGTTGCGATTTTCGAGCTGGAGCTGCGGAAGTGTACTTCGCGTACTAGACTTGTACTACAAAGTTGCGATTTTCGAGCTGGAGATGCGGAAGTGTACTTCGCGTACTAGACTTGTACTACGAAGTTGCGATTTTCGAGCTGGAGCTGCGGAAGTGTACTTCGCGTACTAGACTTGCACGACAAAGTTGTGATTTTTGAGCTGGAGATGCGGAAGTGTACTTCGCGTACTAGACTTGTACTGCACAGTTGCGATTTTCGAGCTGGAGATGCGGAAGTGTACTTCGCGTATTAGACTTGTACTGCCTGCCAAGTTTCGCTTTTCGAGCTGGAGCTGCGGAATTGTATTTCGCAATTTTCGGGCTGGAGCTGCGGAAGTGTACTTCGCGTACTAGACTTGTACTACAAAGTTACGATTTTCGAGCTGGAGCTGCGGAAGTGTACTTCGCGTACTAGACTTGTACTACAAAGTTGCGATTTTCGAGCTGGAGATGCGGAAGTGTACTTCGTGTACTAGACTTGTACTACAAAGTTGCGATTTTCGAGCTGGAGCTGCGAAGTGTACTTCGCGTACTAGACTTGTACTACAAAGTTACGATTTTCGAGCTGAGATGCGGAAGTGTACTTCGCGTACTTTGTACTACAAAGTGCGATTTCGAGCTGGAGCTGCGGCAGTGTACTTCGCGTACTAGACTTGTACTACAAAGTTGCGATTTTCGAGCTGGAGCTGCGGAAGTGTACTTCGCGTACTAGACTTGTACTACAAAGTTGCGATTTTCGAGCTGGAGATGCGGAAGTGTACTTCGCGTACTAGACTTGTACTACAAAGTTGCGATTTTCGAGCTGGAGCTGCGGAAGTGTACTTTGCGTACTAGACTTGTACTACAAAGTTACGATTTTCGAGCTGGAGATGCGGAAGTGTACTTCGTGTACTAGACTTGTACTACAAAGTTGCGATGATCGAGCTGGAGATGCGGAAGTGTACTTCGCGTACTAGACTTGTACTACAAAGTTGCGATTTTCGAGCTGGAGATGCGGAAGTGTACTTCGCGTACTAGACTTGTACTACAAAGTTGCGATTTTCGAGCTGGAGCTGCGGAAGTGTACTTCGCGTACTAGACTTGTACTACAAAGTTGCGATTTTCGAGCTGGAGATGCGGAAGTGTACTTCGCGTACTAGACTTGTACTACAAAGTTGCGATTTTCGAGCTGGAGATGCGAGACTGGATGAGCTGGAAAGTGTACTTCGCGTACTAGACTTGTACTACAAAGTTGCGATTTTCGAGCTGGAGATGCGGAAGTGTACTTCGCGTACTAGACTTGTACTACAAAGTTGCGATTTTCGAGCTGGAGATGCGGAAGTGTACTTCGCGTACTAGACTTGTACTACAAAGTTGCGATTTTCGAGCTGCAGATGCGGAAGTGTACTTCGCGTACTAGACTTGTACTACGAAGTTGCGATTTTCGAGCTGGAGCTGCGGAAGTGTACTTCGCGTACTAGACTTGCACGACAAAGTTGTGATTTTTGAGCTGGAGATGCGGAAGTGTACTTCGCGTACTAGACTTGTACTGCACAGTTGCGATTTTCGAGCTGGAGATGCGGAAGTGTACTTCGCGTATTGGACTTGTACTGCCTGCCAAGTTTCGCTTTTCGAGCTGGAGCTGCGGAATTGTATTTCGCAATTTTCGGGCTGGAGCTGCGGAAGTGTACTTCGCGTACTAGACTTGTACTACAAAGTTGCGAATTTCGAGCTGGAGCTGCGGAAGTGTACTTCGCGTACTAGACTTGTGCTAGAAAGTTGCGATTTTGGAGCCGGATCTGCCAAAGTTCGAAAACACTGTAAAACGATGAGGTCTCCCCCAAAAACGATGACGTTAAAAAAAGTACTAAGGCCAAGTAAAGGGTTTCGTCCGCTCCTCATGTGGCATTGCCTTCACAACATGGACGTTTAGCAAAATACAATATTTGGGTTGAACACCAAGAAGGGGGGGCCTATTTCGAAAGGTGGATAGGTGCTGATGCCATCGTACTTTGGCCAACGCAATCAACTGCCAGGCAGCGAAGCTGTTTGCCCTTCGGCGATATGTCCGAATCCTAAAGTCAGACCAGGTAAGTTTGCGGACGGCCGCGCTGCGCCTTGATAGGGAGTCAGGGAGCTTGTTGGATTGAAAACAAAGTGGAGTCTTGATTCCAAGGCTGAGGGGCAATGCCAATCCATTGCATCAGCAATGGCTCTTCGCTCGGGGCTCACAATTTGTTTGCCTTACGAAGCTGTTTCACAGCCTCACTTCGCAGCTTTTGGTTTACATCTGCTCGCAGCTCAATCGCGCACAAAGTCATGAGCGCCGCTCAACAAAGACGGAACAATATACCTGATATGTATATATATATATATTACACATGAGATGTGTATACATAAATAAATAAATCAATATATATATATATATACACACACACCACACACCATCACACACACACACACACACTTCAACTCCCGAGGGAGGGTGCTAATCCTTCGAGTACAACTGATGAGTCTCGAGTACAACTGATGAGTCTCGAGTACAACTGATAAGTCTCGAGTACGATGAGTTTCGGCTCGCAAGACGCTTGGCTTTCCGGTAGAATCGAAACGCTACAGAAGCAACAAGAAGCACTTACAGCGGCAAAAGAAGAGGGCCAAAAGGACTTTCAGAATCACTCAAAAGTTGCAGGTACACAAGGCTGATCAAGCCTTGCATCCCCTCCAGTGATGCAGCTTCGTTGGGCAAGGTTCATCACTGGAGGCCTTGCCCCCCTGCGGTTGAAATCATAAGCAATTGTGGTGGCAGGGTATTCTGCCACTCCGCACACACACGCCCCTCCACGAGGGGCGTACGTTCTCTTTTGCTTCCGGAAGATCACGTGCTCAACTCCCTAACGTCTACGAAAATATCCACAGCGGCGGGGAGAACGAGAAATTGCACGCTCTGTACGATGCCGCTCAGAAGACGGGGACGAAGGATCTCCAAGTTGAGTAGAAAGTGTGCCGCCATAGAAGACCGGCGGAAGGTGCAAAGATCACGGATGTGCAACGTTGGACATGGGCGGGGCGTAGGTGAAAATTTCCTCGACCTGGATGGAGATGTCCGGATTGTAAGCCATCAAGTGGTTGATCCGCAGCATGGTGGGTGGAGAATGACCCATAGCGGGACAATACCCGTTGGTATCCTTGATGCTGCCAATCTCGAATAGTCCATGCTTGGCCTGGTTCATGAGTCTCCTCATCTGGATCGGTCACCCGTTTCCACTCCCGAAAAGTGTTCTCTGGCAGGTCAGGTACTTCATCATCCGGGTGCCATAGCCAGGAATATAGATCCGCACCCACTCACGTTCCTGCCAGACTGAATACTCCAGGTGCTGAATGTCAGTCCGGGCCGACGTCTGAGTTGCATCATCTGTGTCCATGTCGAAGTGAAAGATAGGGCACACCACAGGTTCCGATCCAGCTAGCAAGGAAACAGTCACCATGCACAACCATGCACAACCAACAAGCACACATGCAAGAAATAGAACATGAAAGCACCATTTTGTACCACGGTCAAAACTCATCTGTTTACTCAGCAACTAGTTCGAAGATGGGCTTCTCCTTGGTGGCAGAGCTGCTAGGTTGGCTTGCGGGCAGATAAGGATCAGCGACCACAGTAGACTCAGGCGGATCAGCGCCCCGAGAAGTACGCACTGGTTGGTGCGGTTGCGACGCTTGACGTGCGAGATCCGACAGCTGCTGACCTGCTTGAAGACGAGTGAGATCCTCAGTAGAGAAAGCCGATGCATCCGAAGATCGAAGAATCGCGTCCAACATCTGCGTAGACATGCACAAAGCCGATGATTGCGTGGCCACGCTGTGCTGATCGGGAGAAAACATTGAATTGAAGCCGTAGTCAGGGTTCAGGAGCTGCGACGCGCCGGTAACCTTCTGTGGTCCAGTCCCGCTTGTACCAAGTACTACCGGTGGGTTGAACACTGTCATGAGCGTGATTTGGGACATAGAACTTCTTCCATTCCCTGTACGTATGACGTGAGGAGGGTCATCACGTTCGTCTTGTGGTGTCCATGCCCCTGGATGGAAAATCTTAAGCCATTGAGCGTCAGGTCGCTGAGGATCAGGGCGCCATTCTAGCCACGGCATGATGATCGATCAATGATGCACATGGCTGCAGGAAAGAAACCCACGACGAGACACAGAACAAGTCAATCAAACTCAAGGCCCTAGACCATGCGCTCAAGACGCAAGAAGCAACAAGCACAGTGTTTTAAGCAACAGTCTGCCCAGGCATCAATGTCACTCGTCCCAGTCAAAATTAGGATCGTAGCTCGGTGGGGGAGAAGGTTCACGCCAAGCACCATCCGGAACCGAAGACGCCGACGAGGACGACAATCCAGAGCACACGAGATCTGACGATCCAATGCCTGGACGTGGGTCGCCAAGGCGTTGGTATCCGCGCGTGTGCCAATCTCGATATTGCCACGTGTAGAAGGACACGTAGGAGACCGGTAGTGGTGCCTCCTGTGCTGTCCCGAGGCCAACACACATCAAAGTGGTAGACTCTGCGCCATTCACGACATGTGGACACGTGGTCCGGAGCTGGGCCTAAGGTAGATTCTGCCACAGGCTGCCACATGCCCGGTGTGAAAACACGAATCCATTCCACTCTTGAGTTTCCAGGGCCACGCACGATGTCGTACTCAAAGTAGCGCGGGAAGGCCCATCGCTCGTTTCCAAATGTCGAATTGAGCATGACAACCGAACACGTCCCTGTAAAACAAAGGATCTGCGAAAGAGCAAACATGGAAGAAGCGCAACACAAGACAAGATAACCCATGCACAATCAGCAAACAATGCGGACCATCTTTTCCTCACAAGGCTGCACGGCACCTCTTCACTGTCGTTGATGACGTGCACATCTGCAATGGAAGTGTCCTGGCTGACGTCGCACACAAGGGGAAAGACACTTACGTCCATGATGTGTAAAGGCATGGCAGTAATGCTTGCATCTTGTAGTTTTGGACCGTGTAGCACGAGTAGACCTTTTGGGAGCGAGGGTCGTCGAGAATAGTGCTCTGCCGTAGTTGATGCGGCACCCTTCAATGTGCGAGCGCGCTTTGGAGTGCGCGTGAAGCTCCGAAGATCATCAGCGCTGAGTTGGTCCGCGCTGCGACCTGAACGACATGTGCGTTCAGAGGTCATGGTAGCCGGGCAGGATCGTCCTCGGGGGGAAGAAGTGGGTGATGTCCGTAATGAGGGCAAGAACTGTGGGTGAAGGATCGGCGGTGGTGGTAGAACCAATTGTGGTGGTGGTGGCGGTGGTACCGGCGCCCGCATTTGCCTGTCCGCTTGAACTCCCGGTGGGTGATTATGAAGCGAGGGTCCGTGATACTGCAGCCAGGTCGGCTGCACTCCATGGGTCCAGGTTATGAACGTCTGAACATTCTGTTCCATCATGACTTGAACACTCATGACAGCAAGACAAGGAAAGCAAGACAACGAGTCCGATTCAATACACAACCAAGCAGAAATATTTTGACGGCGCCAACGCTGCAAAGGTGTCTAGCTGCGAGCCTCAAGTTGCTGATAAACCTTCCAGGCTTGCTTGACTTCCTCCGCGGACTTTTGGAGGGAGCGGGCAATAGTCTTGTAGGTGGGTCGTCCACGCCGTGAATGGTTCATGGTACGCATTGCGGAGGGCAGTCGTGAACTCCTGCAGAAGTTCCCGAGGGCCATGTACCACTGTTGGTGAAGGGCGAAAAGATGAAGCACCAGGATGGGGACGGACAGCCGAATCTGAATCCGGCGTGGAAGTAGGCGTCGTCACCGGTCCACGATCGGTGTTTGCCGCCATGGGAAGCCGGTCAACGAGAACACCTGGACGAGGATCATGTTCTGTTCCTGGGCCTGGAACTTCACGACGTACATCTCGAGGGGGCGACAGCTCAGGTATGTACCAGGTCGAGGACGTGTCCAAGGGCCGCATCCTAGTGCGAGGTGGAGAGCGCGACCGGTCTGACGTGATGCGCTCCGTGATGATGCGTGGACGCAGCCCGTGTCTTGAGTTGCGTGGTGGCCTGAGGACCATCCGCGGATCGGAATTCCGATCTACCGCACGAGCAAAGTTCAAGGTGTCCAAAGCTGTGGCAATCTGGGAGGCGAGAACGTTGAGCACAGCGACCAGGTTATTCACAAACTCCGGAGACAGGCACATGGCAAGCGTGATCAATGCAAGGACAATACAAGCAAAAGGCGGCTGCGAGTCACCACAAGCAACTCAAACTGGCATGTATTTCGGCTGCATCTGAGAGCTGAATACCTTTTACAGTGCGCCGAGCTTCAACGGCCGCGTGTGAGTCCGGAGGGACGACATGCTGGCATGGCTTTAACTGCAGGAGGAGCTTTCGGTGCGGCGCCGCGATGGTCCGAAGTCAGGGCAGGGCCCCGACGAGTAAGTGGTCGCCTGCGATGACTGCGACTTCGAGATCGGTATCGATGCGCTTCGCGCCTCCTAGCCCTTCTGCGCCTGTTGCGCTCCCTGGATGCACTGTCGCTGACTGGTTCAATGAGATCAGCAGCTTCCGCTAGATTGGTAGACGTGGCCACCAGTGTAATAGGCATCGATGTGAAAGTTGATCTTGCTGACGATGCCTTAGGAGATGACGGCGCCGGTGTCGAAGGTGGCGGGAGTGGTGGGAGCACCTCGCAAACCGTTGGTGCTGCAGTGCTGGAGGGACCGCAGGAGGACAGGTGGGTGCAACGGGAGGAAGCGGTGGTTGCGGATGGCGTTGGTGACCTTCAAGACGTTGTAGTCCTGCCACTAGTATACTGATCTGCGACGAGATGGAGCGTAGTAGGTAATGCCCGATAATGGTTGAGTGATACGACCAGTAGCAAACCAGCTTGTGTCCGGAAAGACTAGCTCCGCAATGCAAGGAAGGGTGTAGTACAGAACATCATCAATCAGTATGGCAATTTCCTCAATCCGACTGCCAGAGCGAAGCACAAAGCGATGGCTGCCTAGCGACGGTACCAAAGTCCGAACAGGAAGATGAATGAGGTCCACCGCGGTGGATGTCACTTGGCGTACTGGTGGAATGGACGGCGACCGAGGTCGCCTACGGTCTTCATGAGTTCGGAGGCCGCAATGAGTCCATTCACCCCAGTCATCTTCATGCTCGGAATGGCCATGTGGCCCAGGCGTTAGCCTAAC